TAGTTCAGTCCTGCAGGTGTTTGTTTAGTTCAGTGTTGCAGGTGTTTGTTTAGTTCAGTGCTGCAGGTGTTTGTTTAGTTCAGTCCTGCAGGTGTTTGTTTAGTTCAGTGTTGAACTAATATATTGAACAAATATATTAGTAGTACAAAAATACATTCAGTATTTTTTCTTGAGCCTTCAGAAAACCTTGAAGTTTAACGAGACCAGAACCTCACTCCGTCTCCTCTCGTGTCTTGCAGGCGTCCAGACGGGGTCGACGTCTTCTGAGGTGAAATACGAAGGCAGAGACGCGTCGCTGGAGCTGCCGTTCTCCTCCGTCCCGTTCAAGTCGGAGGAAAACATCGACAAATCCTGCTTCTACCAAGAGGAGCCGCCCGAGGAGCACAGCCAGGACACGCGAACCGCTGTACGGCGCGGACGAGCCCGGCTGCAGCATGGTCTCGGAGATGAACGAATTCGAACCTTACAGCTGTTCGGACACGGACAACTCGGAAGACTGGGCACCTACGGGCGCGCGGAGAAGGAAGTCAAACGGGCAAACTTTTAACCGGTTTATAGATGAGGAACTGCGCGCAGATATTTTAAGCGGAAATGAGCAAAATCCGGATTACAGACAGTACGGGTGGCCGGAGAGCGAGCTGTCCCTGAGAAAGCAAGAAAGCGAGCTGTCGCAAATGCCCGTCGACAAAGCGGCGAAAGACAAGCAAGACAAGCAAGATAAACCTTTCAGCTGTTCCGTTTGCAAGAAGACCTTTCCCCAGAAGCGAAACCTAAAATCCCACATGAGAGTTCACACCGGGGAGCGGCCGTATCACTGTATTCCTTGCGGCCTGAGCTTCAAATTTCAGCAAAACTTCAACCAGCACGACCTGACCGTCCACCGCAAGGACAAGCCCTTCAGGTGTCGCGTTTGTAAGAAGGATTTCGTGGATAAAAGCGAAATGATCGTGCACCGGAGCTCGCACGACTCCTCCTTCAGCTGTTCGATTTGCGACAAGGTTTTTAACTCGAAGAAGTATCTGAGGAGGCATTTGGAGAGATGTCCCATGAATAAAAGACCAAGGAACTGAAGAAACGTAAAGAAGAAACGATAATAAAGGACCCACGGTATTTTATGATCTGTGGTTTAATGTTGTTTTCTCGTCGCAAACAAACCCGGAGTTGTGTTTTGTTTTATTCACATGTTTAACGCACAAAACCTGTAAATCCGTGTGTCATTCGTTCATTAAAATTAAACCAAAAATAAGAAAACAAAGAAAAAAAAACAACAATAACAACTATTTTCTTCATTATTTGATTCCAAAACCAAAATGAAAAAACAGATAAAGATTTGTTTTAACGATGCCAGGACTAAATCAGGACTGAACCAGGAGTAAAACAGGACTAGACCAGGACTACACCAGGTCAAATCCAGGTCTAAACCAGGACTAAACCGGTCTCAGCCCTGGTCTCAGTTCCAGTCTCTGTCCTGGTCTGGTCCCGGTCTCAGTCCTGGTCTCAGTTTCGGTCTGGTCCTGGTCTGTCCCAAACCAGAACTAAACCAGATCTAAACTGGGACTAAACCATGGCTACAGGACTAAACCAGGACTAAACCAGTCTCAGTCCTGGTCTCAATCCTGGTCTCAGTCCCAGTTTGGTCCTGGTCTCAGTCTTGGTTCTGAGTCCCGATCTTAGTTCTGGTCTCAGTCCCAGTCTGGTCCTGGTCTCAGTCTTGGTCTCAATCCCAGTCTTAGTCCTGGTCTCAGTCCCAGTCTCAGTCCCGGTCTGGTCCTGGTCTCAGTCTTGGTCTGAGTCCTGGTCTCAATCCCGATTTGGTCTCGGCCTCAGTCTTGGTCTGGTCCTGGTCTCAGTCTTGATCTGAGTCCTGGTCTTAGTCTTAGTCCTAGTCTCAGTCCCAGTCTCAGTCTTGGTCTGAGTCCTGATTTAGTCCTGGTTTAGTCCTTGTTTAGTCCTGGTTTAGTACTGAGACCAGATCCAGACCGGGTCCAGACCAGAAGTCACAGAAACAAGACACGACCATTTTCCAATTTTTTTATTTCGGTTTTGGAGACAAATAATGAAAAAAATCTTTTTTTTTTTTTTTCGTTTTTTTCCATTTTCTTATTTTAAATTTTATTTTGAAAAACCAATCAACGAACGACACACAGATTCCTACAGATTTCTTCTCTCACACTGAAAACACTCATACAGGAAGTGCTCCACTGTGTTTTTAAACTCAACACACCTTCACTAGAATCATTTGGATCATTTCTGCCGATCTGGAATTTCCAATCTCCAAGGAACTAAAAGTAAAAATAAAAAGTGACTCGAACATGTGAATGAAACAAAACACAACTCATGGTCTGATTTTTTATTTTTATTTTTTTTTTGACGAGGAAACAACTTTATAACGCGACTGAAACCTCACAGGAGTCGGTTTTGTGTAATATACTCGTAGAATCTGTAACTAGAAACTAAATCCTCTCGTTACTTAAAGTGTATAAATGTTGTTTTGAAGCGTCATCTACTGTTCCTTTTATTTAATTTTAGCACAAACTTGGCACATTTGCGGCGTCGTTCCGGTTCAAAACGCTTAAATCCAAGTCCGTGCTTCCTCCGGTGGCCTCTGCGATTTCAAGTACTACGTGACGTCACACAGAACTACCCCGACCGACCGACGCTGCATCTGCGACGTCACCACTTCCTGTTCAGTTTTTTTTTTTTTTCTTTTTTTTTATCTTTGTGGTTTTTGCCGAGTCGTGGTGAAACGGATAAATGTTGAAAAGTTCTTGAAGTGAACGAGAAGTTACGTTTGGATTTTACTGACCACGTGTTGAAAAGTACAAATAAAATGAATACTCGAGTACAGGAAAATCTGTGTACAATTTGTTCATTTGTTTTTCAAAATAAAACCAAAAATAAGAAAATGAAAGAACTGTTTTCTTCATTATTTGTCTCCAAAACTAAAATAAAAAAACAGATAAAGATTAGTTTTTTCAGTTTTCGATTTTGTGTTTAAAAGAAAGATGGAAAAAAAATGGGTAATGGACTGAACCAGGACTAAAGCAGGACTAAACTGGTCTCAGTTCTGGTCTGGTTCTGGTCTGGTCCTGGTCTCAATCACGGTCTAGACCCAGGTAGATCCAGGTCTGGTCTCAGTCTGTTCCTGGTCTCAGTCCTGGTCCTGTTCCTGGTCTCAGTTCTGGTCTGGTCCCGGTCTGAGTCTCGGTTTCAGTTCTGGTCTCAGTCACGGTCTTGTCCTGGTTTGGTCCCAGTCTGGTCCCAGTCTCAGTCCTGGTTCAGTTCTGGTTTAGTCCTGGTTCAGTCCGGCGTCGCAGTTTAGTCACGAAAACTTACAAAACGTCTCATAATCAGTTTTTTCTTTTTGGTTTTGGAGACAAATAATGAAGAAAACTTTTTTTTTTTCATTTTCTTATTTTTCTTATATTTTCGTATTTTAGTTTTATCTTGATAAACAAATAAACGAACGACACACGGATTCAGAGGAAACTTCTGTGTTTAGAAAGAGAAACGTTTGGGTGTCAACGCTAACCCTAATGCTAATTTAGAGGTATAATAAATATGAAAACAACACAAACTCAAGTTTCTTCACATAAAAATAATCAGGTCGTCTTTATTTTAATTTATCTGAAAGTTAAATTATTTCTTTTTTCATCTGTTTTCATTTGTTCAATATTTATTCAGTTACAAGTGTTTTTACCGAGTGATCGGGGTTTGGTCGAAATGTGGGCGGAGCTCAATGTTTGGCCACGCCCCCGATGGGTGGGGCTTAGTGTTTGGCTTTGTTCTGGCGCCATCTGGTGGCAAAGATCAGGAAACACATTGAAACGTCACGAGGGCACGAAAAAGTTCACGACGAAATAAAAACTTCTGCTGGTTCATTTCACACACACAAACACACACATACAGAGACACACACAGACACACATATATATACACATATATATTGTCTCCATGGAGACAAGAAGCTGTTGGACCCTCAATAGAAATGTTCTGTAGTAGATCTTTAATATTTTGTGTTTCATTCTTTGATATTTAGATTTTTTTCATGTAAATTTTGCACTGTGGAACAATAACGGGCCTCTGTGTGTTTTATGGACTGTACTGTAATAATAATAATAATAACAATAATAATTTTGATTAAGAACATTTCACTTTCTATTAAACTTTGCTTAAAGAATTTTCTGATGTGACGTGAACTTTGTTTTCACTAATATTTAAAAATATACAACTGATAATTTTTATTAAATAAGTGAAACAAATGTGTATTTAATGTTTTTATTTTATACTTTCCAATCCAGAGAGCACGCTATACAACTGATTATTTCTATTTATTAACTATCTATTAACTGTTTAATCTAATTTTATTATATATAGATTTTTTAAAATGTATTAATTTCAAACATATTATTTTTATTTTAACTTTGATTTTATTTATTTTTCTTTTAAATTTTTTCTGAACATATTTATTTTGCAATCCAGATAATACACTAAACAACTGATCATTTCTGTTAAACAATTTTTAAAAACTTTTTTAAAACTTTAATTTAATTAATAATTTTAATGTATTAATGAATTCCAAACATATTTTCAAATTTGAAAAAAATAAAAATAAAAATAATAAATGACTCAATTCAAACAAAATGTATTTTTTTATTTTAACTTTTATTCATTTAATTATTATTTTATTTAATTATTATTATTTTGTTTATTATATATATTTTTTTCCTTCTGAAAATATTTTCCAATCCAGACTAAACAACTGATGATTTGTATTTAATAATTCGACCCAGTGTATATTTATTTATCATTTATTTTATTCATCATTTCCCTGTGCACGTGTACTTCCGGCCGGCAGGGGGCGCCACTGCGGTGTCCCCGGCCCCGGTCCCGGTGTGTTTTTCCGGTGTGGTGCGGAGGCTGCGCTGGCGGAGCTCCGTGGTGCTGGTTCCGTGTGAAATCTGCGCAAACATGTCGCTGAAGAAGCAGGCGCTGCGGGACCTGGTGGTGGAGCGGCTCGTCGTCGCCGCCGATGAGATTTTTGCGCTTTTCGAACGAACCTTTGCGGAATACGAAGAGGAGTTTTTGCGCAAGAATCTGCAGCCGCCTCGAGCCGCGCACAAAGACGGTACGTGAGATTTACGCACTAACCTCATCTGGACAAAACGCAGGAAAATAGAACAATATACTGTTGTTTAAAACGGAAAACGTCCAAATAAAACGTGCATGTTTACGTACGTGCGTGTGTAATGTGTGTGTACGTGCGTTTTGGGGTCACCAAATAAATAAATAAATAATAAACAGAAAACAAAATATATAAGGGAACAGAAAATATGTAAATGCAAATTTGATTTCACAGCCCTAAAATGTAAATACACACAGTAGGAGTGCGCAAAAATATCGAAATGTCGTTATATCGTATTGTTTAATGTGGTAATACAGGATCGATATCGTGGGCTGCGGTGTCGATATCACCAAGAGGATTTTCTGGTGTATTTTACTAAATTATTTTGTTACAGCTACAGTTTTGTTGCTCGAGCAGAGTACGGGAATAATGGTGAACAGAAATCACAGTTCTGTTTGTACTTTGGTTTTGAGGTCACAGCTCGGTTCATTTTCGGTTCAGTTTGGCAACAAAATACAAAACCATTTACTTCTTTTTTATTTGTGTTTTTATTAAACCAACAATTTGTTTTAACTTTATACAAACGGGAAAATAAAATAAAGTCAAAGTGCTGCTTGGTAAAAACTACTAAGTTCAATAAAATATTCTCAAATAAGCAACAAATGTTTGCTTCAGATTTTTGGCCAGAAATAAACAAACTTGTCCACAGTGTCTGCAGTAAGAGCAGATCTGCTGCAGGTTCAACGTCCACAGAAGTTGATAATTAACTTTCGCAGGAACGAAGGTGCGGAGATTCAGTGTTGGTGAAAGACGAGAGTAAGTCTGTGTTCAGTCTGCACCTGAAGTGACCCAAATCTGATTTTTTGGCTTCTATGTTCCTGTATCTGATCTTTTAATGTCAGTCTGAACCACACAGATCCGATTTTTTCAAATGTGACTCAGGACACTTGGATATGTGCTCCTGAAACTGATATCTGATCTTTTGACATGTGACTTCAGTCTGAACGGTCAAAGTTCATTCATCCACCTACACGTTATCAACAAGACACAAACGTCACTATTCTGCACTGAAGTAGGAGAAAACTGTTCATGATCCATGTGACTGAAGTGAAGCACATCTCCACTCACCACAAAACACCACCACCAAAAACCTGGTCCTTCTCCTTCTCAATCTCCTCCTTGAAAACAAGTCAGTTGTTCATGTTGTGGCTCCGGTACGAGAGGAACTTTAAAATCTCCAGGTGCTCGATGCTGCGTCCATGTTTGGACAACTTCTGTAAACACAGAGACGCTCGCTGCGGTTGACGTCGTCGTGTCTCCAGTGTCACATGTGGGACACTTTTGGGCCATTTAATGTTCACACTGGAGTCACATACAAGTCACATTTAACTGGAAATGTGAACGACCTCGAAAAAACATCGGATTTCACCAAAAAAATCAGAATTGAGCGTTAAACCTGCAGTCTGAACGTAGACTAAGACTTTATTTCTATCGCGCTTTTCACAGACATATGTCACAAAGACACTTTACAGAACATTTTATAGATTCATTATTCTTTTTCTCCACACCCAGTGATGGTAAACTACTATTGTAGCCACAGCTGCCCTGGGGCAGACTGATGGAAGTGCAGCTGCCATGCCAATCGGCGCCATTGATCCCTCAAACCACCATCACTCACACACACACACACACACCACTTTCATACGAGAGTGAGGACTGCGGTGCGACGACTGTAGTTTTGCAGGATTCTCGTGGTTTGTAGGGACGTAGTCAAGGTGAGGGGCGTCGCTCTAACTATAAAGGGCTGCAGGAAACTCTGCCCCAATCAGGAACAAGTTCCTTGTGAATATTAAAGAGCAGAGTCTCCGTGTAGCTGCACATGTAGTGGAGGAATATAAACACACAAACTGCACAAACCTGCACCAAACACAATGTCCTGCACTGAAACAGTTTAACACAAACACATGAACCATTACACCACTAATAAACACTTTTTAAACCAGGACATGGGGCCAGAGAAACAGGAAATATTGTGGAGCGAAATTGCTGAACTCAATTCTGCAGAATATTAATTATATTTCTTCATAAAATGTCAGAAAATCTCATTGTTGTGACGAGCCGCTCAGACTGAAGAGTTTAAGTTCTGACTAAACAATGAAAAACCGAGGCTGATTTATAAAAAAAGTCTTTTAAAAAACACGTCTAAAATAAAAGCAGTGCAGCTTTAATCCAGGCATGAGGTAAAATGATAAAATATGTTTATGTTTTAATTCCACATGAGTTTAAACGAGCCGCTCAGAGTTAAATAAAGAGCCGTGTGTGAATTTGGAGCTGCACAATGTCCAGGTCTGTTTTAAACACGTCTGAGTCCTGGAGTTTCTCTCTGTGTTTAATAAAAGAGTCTCTGAGGATCCAGAAAAGTTCTACATTAAACAGATCCGTTATTATTTTGATTGTTCAGTTTGTCGAAAGAAGCCAACGTGAAAAACCCACAGAACTCGATTATCACATAAATAAATATTAAAAGAGCCAGAATCTTTTAATCCATGTTTCATTCGTTTTTCAATACGGATCACAACTGTTTCCCGAGAACGTGACTGAACCAGGACTGATCTGGTCTGGGACCAGAGCGGGACCAGAGCGGGACTGAGACCGAGACCAGACCAGGACCAGGCCGAGACCGGGACCGAGACTGGAGGCTCAGAGCCCACAGCAGGGCTGGAAGGACCAGAGAGGGAGCAGAGCGGGACTGAGGCCGAGGCCGGGACTGAGGCCGGGACTGAGGCCGGGACCAAGACTGAGACCGGGGGACCGAGGCCGAGGGACTGAGACCGGAGGCTCAGAGCCCACAGCAGGGCCAGAGCTCGAAGTTGAGGCTCAGAGTCAAAGATCAGAGTCCACCCTGGTCCCGGCCTGGTCCCGGTCTCAGTCCCGGACCTGGTTCAGTCCTGGTTCAGTCCGGCATCGCAGTCATGGAAGTCACATAAACGGCCGTTATCCGTTTTTTTCCATTTTTCATTTCAACACAAATCGAAAACTGGAAAAAACGAATCATTATCTGTTTTTTATTTTGGTTTTGGAGACAAAAAAACAAAGAAAATAGTTGTTTTTTCGTTTTCTTATTTTTGGTTTTATATTGGAAAAAAACAAATGAACAAACGACACACGGATTTCTTTTGAACGGATTTTTGAAATTCACAGATCCAGAAGATTCGGTTCTGGTAAAGGAGCTGAAAACCTCATCACAACAATAACGCGGGACATCAGTATTCTCCACACCGTCTTCTTCTTCTTCCTCTTCCTCGCCGCAGATGCCTCCCTGACCTCTGACCCTCCGCCCTCCCACTCGCTCGGGCTGTTTCTGTCCCTGAGCGTCCGACTCAACAAAAGAAAAACGTCTCGCTTCTAGAATCCTCCACGAGAATCTTCCTGCAAATGTTAAAAAAAACACAAAAACAAAACAAAACACTGACACAAGCTACAACTAACAGATTCTAATCGATACTAAAACAAATCGAGACTAGATACTTGTTTGAGCAGGTATCGATACTGGAAATAAATAAATAACATAAATGTAAATAAAATAAAAAGTGGACTTGAGTTTGACGTCGTCCGCAGCGTTCGGCTCCAGTCAAATGAAGCTCATCGATGCTTGAGGGTTGAATTTGGCGGAATTCCAGATTTGGAAAAAGAAAATTTATTTACGGAAAAAAATAACAAAACAAAAACGCACCACTAGTACTGCAATACTACTACTACTACTACTACTACTACTACTACTACTACTACTACTACTACTACTACTACTGCTACTACTACTACTACTACTACTACTACTACTGCTACTAATACTACTACTACTACTACTACTACTACTACTACTACTACTGCTACTACTACTACTACTACTACTACTACTACTACTACTACTACTACTACTGCTACTACTACTACTACTACTACTACTACTGCTACTAACTACTACTACTACTACTACTACTACTACTACTACTACTACTACTACTACTACTACTACTACTACTGCTACTAACATAGTAATACTACTACTACTACTACTACTACTGCTACTAATACTACTACTACTACTACTACTACTACTACTACTACTGCTACTAACTACTACTACTACTACTACTACTACTACTACTACTACTACTACTACTACTACTACTACTACTACTACTACTACTACTACTACTACTACTGCTACTACTACTACTACTACTACTGCTACTACTACTACTACTACTACTACTACTACTACTACTACTACTACTGCTACTACTACTACTACTACTACTACTACTACTACTACTACTACTACTACTACTGCTACTACTACTACTACTACTACTACTACTACTACTACTACTACTACTACTACTACTACTACTACTACTACTACTACTACTACTACTACTACTACTACTACTACTACTACTACTACTACTACTACTACTACTACTACTACTACTACTACTACTACTACTACTACTACTACTACTACTACTACTACTACTACTACTACTACTACTACTACTACTACTACTACTACTACTACTACTACTACTACTACTACTACTACTACTACTACTACTACTACTACTACTACTACTACTACTACTACTACTACTACTACTACTACTACTACTACTACTACTACTACTACTACTACTACTACTACTACTACTACTACTACTACTACTACTACTACTACTACTACTACTACTACTACTACTACTACTACTACTACTACTACTACTACTACTACTACTACTACTACTACTACTACTACTACTACTACTACTACTACTACTACTACTACTACTACTACTACTACTACTACTACTACTACTACTACTACTACTACTACTACTACTACTACTACTACTACTACTACTACTACTACTACTACTACTACTACTACTACTACTACTACTACTACTACTACTACTACTACTACTACTACTACTACTACTACTACTACTACTACTACTACTACTACTACTAACTACTAACTACTACTAACTACTACTTAACCTACTACTAACTACTACACTACTACTACTACTACTACTACTACTACTACTACTACTACTACTACTACTACTACTACTACTACTACTACTACTACTACTACTACTACTACTACTACTACTACTACTACTACTACTATTAATAATAATAAATAACAAAAAAAGAACATAAAAAACACAAATTAAAAACAACTTTAAAAAACAAAACATCAAACCACATTCAAATAAAGAACACAAACACAATAAATAAACAATAATAATAATGAGGATTATTTCTACAGTCCGTCCCTAAAACCAGTCAGCAAATTTTCCATTTCCTGTTACGCTCTAATAATTCGTTATTCTCCGTGGAAATTAGTTTTTCTAGATTGTACTGATTGTGAATTATGTTTTTAAAATATTCTAAACATAAATTTGATATTGTTGAAGCCTTAAAAATAACAAAATAATTATATATATATATTCAGAAAAGATGTGAACTTTCCTCTTTAAATTCCCGTTGGCTGAACCTGAGATCAAACTGAATTTTCTTTCTTTTTTTTTTTTTTTTGCAGATGTCCGAAACCATCAACAACAGGAAGCCCAAAACGGACGCTTCCTGTTTCCTCCGGTCGCTGTCAAAACTGAAGACGAAGACGCCAATAATCCGTCTTTCCTTCATCACCAGCCCCCTCTTCCTCCTCTTCCTCCTCTTCCTCCTCCTCCTCACCTCTCCTCCTCCTCCTCCTCCTCTTCCTCGGACCCCAGAGCCGAGGCCGCGAGGATCCGAGCGGAGGGCGAGTCGGAGGAGGTGCCCGGCTGCAGCGTGGACTTACGATCCGACGACAACGACGACGAGGAAGAGCAACCTTTCAGCTGCTCGGACTCCGACGGAGACGAACCCGAAGGCTGGGCCGCCGCCTCCGAAATCCCCGACCAGTGCGACGGACAGGGAGCCGGCGAAGATCCGACGAAGGAAACGGGAGACGGCGACATTCCGGCGCTGTACAAAAGCCTGTTCTTTCCTGAAATGGGGGGTAAGTGTGGAAGACCTTTTGTTTCATCAGATTTTAAAATTTTAAACACTGTTGAATTTCTCACTTTGAAATTTTTTACTCTGAAAAAACATGTTTGTACGGCGGAGTATAAGGGTCAGATAAAAAAAAGATGCTGGCGCGATGAGAATAAAGTCGTAACATTTCGACATTAAAGTCGTAAACTTACAAGAATAAAGTAGTAATTTTATGAGAATAAAGTCATAGTCAAAATAAAGTGGTAATATTAGGAGAATATCTGCGGCTCGTGGAGAATTTGGAGCATTTTGTAAAAGAGAAGAATCCATGTATCATTTGTTCATTCGACTGAACAAGGACTGAATCAGGACTAAACCAGGTCCGGAAACAAACCAGAAAGACCAGGACTGAGACCGGGACCAGACCAGGACTGAAAACGGTTTAGTCCTGGTTTAAGTCACGGAAACGGGAAATGGCGTTTCCGTGACTTTAAAATGCGATGCGGGAATATTGCGCCGCATACGGACTGAACCAGGACTGAACCAGGACTGAACCAGGACTGAACCAAGACTAAATCGTTTTCAGTCCTGGTCCTGTTCCCGGTCTCAATCCTGGTCTCAGTCCTTGTCTAAGTCCTGGTCTCAGTCCCGGTCTGGTCTCGGACCTCGTTTAGTCCTGGTTCAGTCCTGGTTTAGTCCTGGTTTAGTCCTGGTTTAGTCCTGGTTTAGTCCTGGTTCAATCTGGAGGCGCAAATACTGAAGAAAATTGTTGTTCGTTTTCTTATTTTTGGTTTTATATTGAAAAACAAGGTTTTTCTTCAGCTGCATTTTTCACTTTGACTTTGATTTTATTACGACTTTATTCTCGTAAAATTATAAGTTTATTCTCATAATATTACGACTTTAATGTTGAAATGTTACGACTTTATTCTTGTAGCGCCAGCATCTTTTTTTTTTTTATCTGACTCTTATACTCCGTCGTATGTTTGAATTATTTTTATTATGGATTTTTGTTTGCTGAAATTTTAAGTGTATAAAATTCAATATTAAAAAAAATCACCTTTTAAATATTCAGCACAAATATTGTCAAGCCCTCAAATTCAACAGTCAAAATTCAGAGTGTAAAATTCGTAGTGAAGAAAATAGACGCATCAAGAATCTCGGACTTCAGGTCATCGCACAATTCACACTGGGAAGGATTTTCTGAAAAAGTGAAGTCAAACCTCCATGTTTGTTTTCCCAGTGGGATGTGTCTATTGTCAAAGTCGATCTTTTCAAGTCTTTTGAACCATTTCACTTTTGTTTCTGGTTCTGATATTGTCATATTTTAGTTTTGGGATTCGGACATTGTAATTTTGTGGTTGTTGGATCCAAGCAGTGGAAAACGACTTGAGAAATTTGTTTGTGAACTTCATAAATGCAAAAGTGAATCAGATGTGTGTGACTCAAACCTCTGTTCAAACTGTTTCTCTTCCCAACGGAATTGAAAAATAGTGAAAGGTGAAGGTGATGGGCAGGATTGATCCACAGGAAGAACCAAAAAGGAAACATTTGGATCCGTCGCTCAACCTCGGTTACGAATTTAAAAAGTCGAACACCAAAGTGAAAGTCTCCAACTGTTCACCAAGAAACACCTTCCACTGCAAAGACCAAGACGTGATGTTTGTGTAAAACCACAAGAACAAGAAAGTGCAGCTCAGTCTGTTTGTCTTCTGCTCCTCTCACAACCACAACAATTACGATGTCCGAATCCCAAAACTAAAATATGACAATATCAGAACCAAGAAACAAAAGTGAAATGGTTCAAAAGACTTGAAAAGATCGACTTTGACAATAGACACGTCCCACTGGGAAAACAAACATGGAGGTTTGATGATCACTTTTTCGGAAAATCCTTCCCAGTGTGAATTGTGCGATGACCTGAAGTCTGAGATTCTTGATGCTTGTATTCGCAGTAAAGATCCCAGATGCCAAGGCAGAAGTAATCGATCCAAACTGATCCGATCTAACTTAGTAAGAAACAGGAAATGTTGCAGTGACGCGATCTGATTGGTCAGAATTCGCCTCATCAAAACCTCATCTCTTTAATTTGTTAAGCGTAAACCCCGCCCACAGATGAGAACAGCCAATAGGAAACAGCCTCTGGGTTCAGTCAAGTGTTAACGGAGGGAAACAGGGTCAGATTTTTGACATTCAAATGTCTCTTATTCAGAAACTAGAGGAACTATTGAAATAAGTAAAGTATCAGAATGTAGGAAAGAGTTACACTCCAACAGGGTCAAGTTAAACCTGTGAGATTCTTTCAAGTTCAAGACAAAAAATTAAAAAACTCATGTCGGTAACGGAGGAAATGAAATATGCAGCACTTTTTGGTCAATAAATCCAAACAGTGATAACTCTTGGTTCTCACTTCCATATCCTTAACAAACTGGTTTGAATATTTGCTTCATATAGTTTTCTACCATATGGTACAAGATTAGGTTGAAAAACCTCTGACTTTTTGACTCATGAGATTTTTTATTAAGAAAGTTCATGGTAACGGAGGGAAAAGTAACGGAGGGAAAATTGTACAAACAAGTAGAAGGTGCAGGATTTTACATCATTTGTGGCTTTTTTCTTCTGAAAACTTTAATATTACTTCAAAATGAAAGGAAACTATTTCTATAAAATATGTCAGTCCTTCCAAGCAAATTATTATCATTTTAAATACTTTTTTTTTTTTTTTTAAATCCTGTCCCTTCATCAACAGTTCAAAGATGGAATAACACAAGATATGATGAAATACAAACATTTATTTACATGATTTTTGGGTCTTTGAAATTTGGGAAATAATTTTTGTTCCATGTTTCATTCATGGTCTGTTTAAAACATATGGAACTTTAGAACCAAAAATGGAACAGAAAAAAGGTCAACAGTTTGATAAACTAGAGTACATATGTATCTGTTCAATACACTTTTATATCAGATGAATTAACTTGGAATTTTTGGCCTTGTTGTTTACTTCTGCTGGACCGGGGCTCCTCTGTCCTCCTCGCTCACATGATCGATGCTTCTGCCTTGGCGTCTTGGATCTTTGCTGTGAAATTTTTCACTGCGGATTTTATGATCTGAATTTCAACTGGTGAATTTGACTACGTTCAGACTGCAGCCTGAAGTGACCCAAATTAGGTTTTTTTTGGCCCCTATGTTCGTGTATCTGATCTTTTAATGTCAGTCTGAACGACACAGATCTGATCTGATTTTTTTCAAACATGACCCAGGACACTTGGATCTGTGCTCCTGAAAACTGATACATATCTGATCTTTTGACATGTGACTTCAGTCTGAACGGCCAAAGTTCATTCATCCACCTACACGTTATCAACAAGACACAAACGTCACTATTCTGCACTGAAGTAGGAGAAAACTGTTCATGATCCATGTGACTGAAGTGAAGCACATCTCCACTCACCACAAAACACCACCACCAAAAACCTGGTCCTTCTCCTTCTCAATCTCCTCCTTAAAACAAGTCAGTTGTTCATGTTGTGGCTCCGGTACGAGAGGAACTTTAAAATCTCCAGGTGCTCGATGCTGCGTCCATGTTTGGACAACTTGTGTAAACACAGAGACGCTCGCTGCGGTTGACGTCGTCGTGTCTCCAGTGTCACATGTGGGACACTTTTGGGCCGTTTAATGTTCACACTGGAGTCACATACAAGTCACATTTAACTGGAAATGTGAACGACCTCGAAAAAAACATCAGATTTCACCAAAAAAAATCTGAATTGAGCGTTAAACCTGCAGTCTGAACGTAGTTTTTTAGGGCTGATTTTCTTTTTTTTTTATTTTGAATTGAAAGTAAATTCAGAATAAAAATCATTCAAACATCTTTTTTCAGAGTTAAAAAAATTCAAAGTGAGAAATTCAGAGGTATTTAAAATTCCAAATCTGACGGAGCAAATTATCTTCCGTAGGTAAGAAAGTGAAAAGAAGCGATTCGAGTGCGCCCAAACCTTTCAGCTGTCCCGTCTGCACGAAGGCATTTGAAAGCGAGGAACTCTTGGACAAACACGTCGTCCTGCACAACAACCAGACGCCGATCCGCTGTCCGATCTGCAACAAGCCGTGCCGGAACAACTCCAGTTTCAAGAAGCATTTGAACATTCACACGGAGGAAAGACCGTTCAGGTGTTCGGTTTGCATGAAAGGCTTTAACCAGAAGTGCAACCTGAAGAGGCACATGCAAACCCACACGGAGGAGAAGTCTTTCAGCTGCCCGGAGTGCGGCTTGAGGCTGAAGCAGCAGCACAACCTGTTGAGGCACATCTCCGCCGTGCACCGGGGGGAGAAGCCGTACAGCTGCCCGGTGTGCGATAAAGCCTTCGCGCAGAAGACGGTGTTTATAATTCACATGAGGACCCACACGGGAGAGAAACCTTTCAGCTGCGCGGTTTGTAAGAAACGGTTCCGAGATAAGTGCCACCTGAAGAGACACATCAAAACGCACGGGGACCAGGCCGGAGCGCACGACGAGCTGCACGACTCCATCTAAACCAACGACCAGAAGAGGAGGAAGGACGTGAGGATTTAAACGGCACATACAGACATTTTTCACAACAGCCGAAAGTGCCGCGGTGGAGGTAAACGTCGCTTACGGTTTATTGTTTTTCTGTGGCAAAATGTTTGTGTGTAAATGTGTGTCGTTTTCTCCAGCAGCTTCATAAATCTGCCCCATCGCCAAATCTTCAACCAACAAACTCCACAAAGAATAAACATTCTAACATGAACAATTTATCCACAAATATCAAGAGAAGAAAGACGAAAACGACGACTAGTATTAGTGACACACTCAACAAAACTAATATTACGATCATGAATAAAACAGAAACTCAGACTGATTCTACAATTAAAATTAAAAATCGATTTCATGGTGTTGATATTTGTACAGACAGAGAGATTTGTGCCGTTTAAATGTTTGACATGTTTGCTCCGTTTACATGTACAGGGGTATTTTTTAAAAACTGAGACATTTCCCTTCGTCTGTTTCATCTTTTACACACAAACAGCAGCTTCACTTCTGAAAACAAATCTTTTTTTAAAACTCCAACTCGAGTGGAGATTCTAGAAAACTCCGGTTTGGTGTTTGTGTGTAAAGTGACAAACAGAGTTTTAACACTTTTCATGTGTTTCATTTTCACACAGCTGATGTTTCAGATCCATGACCAGAGACACATGAGGCTGTATCAGATCTGTGGAGAGGCGAGCCGCTCACTAATGCACCATTTTAAACTTTTTTGTGAGTAAAACTGTAATGAAATAAACTCTACAGGTTTGAATCTGATCCAGCTGCGCCCAGAGACTCGGTGCAGTTCTGACGGCGCTCGATGTAAACGAAAAGTTTTTTGAAAAGTCTGTGTGCACGATGTTATTTTGGAAAAGGGAGGGAGGGAAATATTCGTTTCTCAACAAACCCGGCGATGTGTAAACAAATCTCTCTGTCTGTACAAATATCAACATCATGAAATCGATTTTTAATTTTAATTGTAGAATCAGTCTGAGTGAACAAGTTTCTTCTGTTTTATTCATGATCGTAACATTAGTTTAGTTCAGTTTGTTCAGTTTGTCACTAATGTGTTGTCGTCGTTCTCGTTTCACTTTTCGTCTTTCTTCTCTTGATCGTTGTGGACAAATTGTTCATGAAGAATATTTTTCCTTTGTGGAGCTTGTTGGTTGAAGATTTACACATTTACACACACATTTTGCCATGGAAAAACATGAACCAAAGTGACATTTTACTCGACATTGCGACACTTCCGGACGTTGTGAGAAACGTCTATTACGCTTTTTTCTAATCTGATCTAATGTTTTCTCATCACAAACAAACTTGAACTTGTGTTTTGTTTCATTCACACACGTTTAAACACACAAATCTGCACATTTAGACCGAGTTTTACCCTCCGTTCCACCTCGTGATGTCACGTGGTAACACAGGAAGACGTTTTAAAACTCCGTACACTTTCACTTCATTTCATTTCGATCATTTCAGACAATCTTGAAAGTGAAAGTGCGTCACAGATTTTTATGTTTCTCTAATTTTGACTTAATTTGTTGGGATCGTAAGTGTTGAAAATATAAATGATAGTTTTACTCAAATCAAGAGGCAATTCGTGAAGAAAAATTAGAAAACATGTTGGAAATTACATCAAGTCGAGAGTTTCGTATTTATGACATGGCACTGGGAGAATTTTGTCTGAAAGTTTTTAACATTTTTCGTCAAAATAAATGTGTTATGTTTTTATTTGTAAAATCGTAATTTCTGTGCATGTCGGAGGTTTTGAATTCCCCTTAAACCTAAAAAAAAAAAGCCATATTGGGAAAACGAGCGTGTGTATTTCTGAAAAAATCTGAAACGCATTGATCTTAATTGTGTTTTTATTTGGAAAATCAGTGTAACCTGCCATAGGCACTTTAAAACTACCACTTCATGACATCACAAGGTGGAACAGAGAGTTTTGAGCTTTGGAGATGTGGACAGACGAATAGTAAAGATTTACTCAAACATGTGAACAGTGTTGAGGAGTAACAGATTACATGTACCAGAGTTAAGTAATCAGAGTACAAATGATGAGTAACTGTATTCAGTTACAGTTACTGTTTCAGTGAATGGGAATTGGATTACAGTTACTTTGTTGAAATAAATGGATTTTACAGAGGTACATTTTGAGCTATACCCCCCCCCCCCCACACTTTTTTTCTTTTTTTTTTCCGGTAATTCCAATCATTGCCGGAAACTAAACCAGGTCTAAACCAGGTCTAAACCAGGTCTAAACCAGGTCTAAAACCAGGTCTAAACCAGGTCTAAACCAGGTCTAAACCAGGTCTAAACCAGGAATAAAACCAGGACTAAACCAGGACTAAAACCAGGACTAAACCAGGACTAAAACCAGGACTAAACCAGGACTAAAACCAGGATTAAACCAGAACTAAAACCAGGACTAAAACCAGGACTAAAACCAGGACTAAACCAGGACTAAAACCAGGACTAAAACCAGGACTAAAACCAGGACTAAACCAGGACTAAAACCAGGACTAAACCAGGACTAAAACTAGGATTAAACCAGAACTAAAACCAGGACTAAAACAGGACTAAAACCAGGACTAAACCAGGACTAAAACCAGGACTAAAAGGACTAAACCAGGACTAAAACCAGGACTAAACCAGGACTAAACCAGGACTAAACCAGGACTAAACCAGGACTAAAACCAGGACTAAACCAGGACTAAACCAGGACTAAACCATGCCGCGCGGACCATGTCTCCTCTTCGTTTTCTATCAATAATATTTTTAATTTGGTTCAGTAAAGTTTGGGCTTTTTATTTTCTTGTATCAGACAAAACTTCTTATGTGAAGATTTCCTCGTCTTTGTTTCTCTACAGCAAACCAAGTAATTCAAAGTAATCAGATTACATTACTCACTTTAAGTAATTTAATGCATTCTGTTACAAACTACATTTTGGGGTATGTAATCTGTAATCTGTAGGGGATTACATTTTAAAAGCAAACTTCCCAACACTGCATGTGAATGAAACAAAACACAAGTCCGACTCTGTTTTTGACGAAGAAACATTAGAACACGACTTAAATCTCACGGGAGTCGACTTTTAACGTAAATATATAGTGAACATTTCCGTAAAATCTATTTTAATGAGATTTTAAAAGTGTTAACGCTAAAATACTAAGTGTGGACACGTGTACTTTTGTTTTTTTTGCTTGTAAATCTGTATCATAACATGGAATATTGTAATAAGCAGCTATGACTTTATAATCAGCATGATTTTGTGTTGTTTTTATTTCTGAACTTTGAAATCAAATGTTCAGATTCTGTACGGTTTTAAAACTAAAAAAAGTAAGAAAACCATTCGGGTGTTAAGATTCTGTTGAGAGACTGAAGTTTTCTTGTGGCTCAACTGTACAAAACACTGTAATTTATTAATTTTGTGAAGTAACTGTTAAAATACTCATGTTTGTTATGAAGGACTCAAACAGGATTTAAGCTTTTGGTTTGAATTGTTTAATTTTTGTTGAAAAATGTGTAATTCACTACAATCATTTAAAAAAATAAACGGTTATATTCCACAGAAGCTTCGGAATTTCCTTTTGTACTTTTCTAGCCGCGTACTTTTACTCCTCGAGTAATATTAGTATTGAAGTACTCAAGTAAAAGTTGTGCTTCCTCTTCCCGCTGTGAGGAAAACTAAAGTGACAAAAGTTTCATGTGACAAAATGAAATGATTTGAACTTTTGTGTTTCTTGCGGCTTCTTCACATCGGATTTAGTGTCTTATTTTTGTGTCTGTTCTTTGAAAACACCAGATTTTGGATTCTTAAGATTAAAAAGTATTTGTGAAAGTACTACTTAAGTAAGCGTAACTCAAGTAATTTCTTGGTCGACTACTTTAGGAAATTGGTGAGGAACTTTTCATCTGTTCAACTTTTCCACTCTAGAGGGCAATTTCAGATTTTTTGCATTTTTAAGCCCCAAAACTCCATCACCGTCTCAACAAGACACTTCTGATATAAAATATTTTGACGTTTTTACCCTCTCGTGTTCTCCTGTAAACCAGTCTTCAGTTTTTGTGTTCTGTTTGAGTTATGAGATGTAAGATCGATGCATAACATGCAAAACAGGCATAAGACGCTGTATACCTTTTTTCCCCCCACTGACCAAATAAACAGTACAAGATACTTTTTTCCTTTTTTGAGGAGCTGTTGGTGGGGAGAAAAAAAGAAAATGCAGCACATCAGCAGTCAAGAACTATAAAAAGTAAAAAAAAAAAAACTGCAAAAGAGAATTTTTTTTTTATTTTTTATAATTTTTCTTTCAAATTTTTGATTACCCCCCCTCAGTCACATCAGCAGTAAAGAACAAAAAGTAAAAAGCCATCTGTGCAAAAGAGACAAGAAAAATTAAATAATGACGACAAAAAAAAGCAAGATTTTCCCTTTTTTCTTTGGGAGCTGTTGGTGGGGAGAAAAAAAAAAAAAGAACTTAAAAAATGGAGCACATCAGCAGTAAAGAACAAAAAAAGTACAAAAAAAAGCTATCTGTGCAAAAGAGAGAGGAAAAAAAAAAAAAAAAAAAAAAGACCAAAAAAGCAAGAGTTGTTTTTTTTTCCTTTTTTTGGGAGCTGTTAGTGGGGAGGGGAAAAAAAAAAAAAAAAAAAAAATGGAGCCCAAAAAAGGCAAAATGAGGTTTTTTGTTTTTTGCCGCTCAGGGTTTCCGTACACATCAGCTCAAAATGTGGTTTCTTTCAAATCCTCTGATATAAACTCTAGAAAAGAGGAACCAAACTACTTCCCTCCCAAAAATATGAATTACACAGACAAACAACTTTTAAATAAATAAAATTACAGACAAACTGTAACTTTCAAAACATCTGTACATTTATTTCCAGTAAAAATGTACAAGTTTGAAAACTCATGATGGATCTTTGACTCAAACTGAGCGTCCAAAGAGAAAAACATTGATAAAAATGAACTGTACAGATTCTCAGCAAAAACGAGACTGATAAAAAACGTTTAAAAGCTCAACGAACTAAGCACGATTTAAAATTACAAATTAAAAAATATATTATTTCATGGGAGTCCAGCGGCTAAAATGCTCCCGACGAGGGTGCGATCCTTCAGAGCGTTCTCCACGTCCTTCTCTTCGATCTTCAGGAAAATCTGAAACGGAAAAAAAAGAGGAAAGTTGGAAATTTGGGAAATGTTTATTAAGTCTGAACTTCTCTCCATCCTCCGTCTGACCTTCTCGCTTCCTTCTCTTCCTCCTCTGCTCCAACTAACCTTCTCTCTTTCTTCTCTGCACCTGTCTGACCTCCTTTCTCCATCTGACCATCTCATTTCCTTCTCTCCATCCTCTGCTCCACCAGACCTTCTCACCATCCTCCTCTGCTCCATCTCACTCTCTTCTCTCCATCCATCTGACCTTCTCTCCATCCTCTGCTCCAACTAACCTTTTCATCCTCTCCATCTAACCTTCTCTCTTCCTCCTCTGCTCCACCTCACTCTCTTCTCCATCCATCTGACCTTCTCTCCATCCTCTTCTACATCTGACCTCAATTCCTCCTCGTCCTCTCCATCCATCTGACCTTCTCTTCCTCCTCTTTGTTTCTAATCCAATCCGTTCTCATCTGCTCATTTCAACATACGGCCATAATTTAATTTAAAGATTTAATATTTTTGTAATTATCAGTGTAGAACTTGGGATAAAACGCCAACGCTTCCTGATTATTGGACCATAAGACTTGTTTAGCATGTCTTGTCAAAATCTGCAGGAAGTGCGCGGTCAACATGCTGGTCAACAAAACTCTGCTCTGGTCTCAACTTGTGAAACTCACTACAAACCTGTGCTCTAGTTTATATTATTAGAGCCACAAAATCTCCTTCTGCATAAAACCTGCTGAGCTCGTTTCTCTCTCTGTTCTTTAAAATGTGAAAACCTTTTATTAAAACGGAAATGTGAAGTGTCCAAACCTTGGTGAGTCTCGCCTCTTTGGCCTTCTTCAGAGCAAAGATCCCTCGACTCTCCAGGAGGCTGCACAGAGACAGACACTCGCTCTGCCCCGCCGCCCCCACCTGCCTCCGGGCGCACAGCCGACTGTACGCTTCATGGAGCTGAGGACAGACGCAGACAGAGACGGAAGTGTGAGACACAAACGTCTAAACCCCGTCAAAGCGTCCGGTCTCGCCTAAACCCCGTCAAAGCGTCCGGTCTCGCCTAAATCTGGTCTAAACCCCGTCAAAGCGTCCGGTCTCGCCTAAATCTGGTCTAAACCCCGTCAAAGCGTCCGGTCTCGCCTAAATCTGGTCTAAACCCCGTCAAAGCGTCCGGTCTCGCCTAAATCTGGTCTAAACCCCGTCAAAGCGTCCGGTCTCGCCTAAATCTGGTCTAAACCCCGTCAAAGCGTCCGGTCTCGCCTAAATCTGGTCTAAACCCCGTCAAAGCGTCCGGTCTCGCCTAAATCTGGTCTAAAACCCCGTCAAAGCGTCCGGTCTCGCCTAAATCTGGTCTAAACCCCGTCAAAGCGTCGCGTCCGGTCTCGCCTAAATCTGGTCTAAACCCCGTCAAAGCGTCCGGTCTCGCCTAAATCTGGTCTAAACCCCGTCAAAGCGTCCGGTCTCGCCTAAATCTGGTCTAAACCCCGTCTGCACGTCACTTGTGTGTCCAGTCTCACCTTGCCCAGGGGAACCTCTTTGCTCTTGCCGTTCCTGATGAGCAGCAGGAGGCAGCAGACGAGCAGCTTCTGTTGAAGAGGGAAAGTCTCTCCTTCTGTTTGAGCCATTCTGTCTCCGTAAACCTCAGACAGAACCCGGGCGACCTGAGGCAGGCTCACGCGAGACGCTGAGGGGGAGAAATACATTTAAGTCACAGGAAAAAACACTAACAAAGAATGAAAAATGGTCTAAAGTATAAAAACCTGATACTAATCTGCACTAAAACTAATATCGAAACTAGATGATCATGTTGAGCAGGTATCTGTACTAAAAATATCCTGACACTGATCTCTGGAGATGTATTTTTGAGCAATAATCTGTTAAATGCCATACTACGGGACATTTCAGGCAAAGAAATGACTCCATGGAAGCAAATAAGACCAAAACTAAAAAGAAAAACAGAAAACATTTGTGTCTTCGTTTGTTTTCTCACTCATCGGTAAAGTCCTCACCTTTCGCTTCTGTCGTTCCGTCTGTCGCCTTCTTCCTCTCGTCGGACTCGACCATCTCCACGGCTCTCCTGAAAATCAACAGCAGGGAGGTGAGCGACGCTGGAGCTGCAGTCAACTTAAATTAACTTTAAAAACTTGTGAATCACGACACTACATCCGTATAAAACCCCCGTGTCCCTTTATCCGTGTTTCAGACTCGTACCTGCAGATGTCCAGAGCTTTCCGCGCGTCTCCGGAAACGGCAGAAACTTTACGAGCGCAAAACTGAACAGCCGAAGGGTCGAGGAGGGTCTCGGCTGAGGCCTGGAAAAGATACAGATACAAACTCTTAACACAAAGGTTTTCATAATTAAAGCGACACTACGTAACTTTCTGGAGGTGGAATGTCACAAACCAAACATCGAAACATTCTGCATGGAGATAAGTTTTATGTCACACTTTTTTTTTTTTTCACTTTGTGGAAACTGTCTGACCTCGCACCATTACAATTCGTTCGCTCGACAGTAGGCTGTTTTTTTTTTAAATTTAACCAATCACTGCTGTTTGTAATGCTCCAAATCCCGTAGGAAGAAGGACAATAACGTCTTTCCTCTTGATAAAATTCACCAAACATTCTCTTTGTTCCGGCTTTAAATCCTCGGGGATCTGGGGAATCGTTGACGACACAGAATGTCTTCGGCTACATCCATCTCAACACTTTTACTGTTGTTCTTTACTGTTCATTTTTAAAAATAAAACCAAAATAAGAAAATGAAAAAAAAGAAAACCCTGTTTTCTTTATTATTTGCCTTCAAAATCAAAATGAAAACACACACACAAAAAAACAACAGATAACAACCGTTTCCTGTTTATGTGACTTAAACTGAGATGCTGGACTGGACCAGGACTGGACTGGACCAGGACCGGACCAGGACCGAAAACAGTTCAGTCCTGGTTCGATCCGTTATCCGTTTTTTCAATTCATTTAAACATAAAATTGAAAACTGAAAAAATTATAAAATGACTGAACCAGGATTGAACTGTTTTCAGTCCTAGTCTGGTCTCGGTCCCGGTTTCGGTTTCAGTCTCGGCCTCGGTTTAGTCCTGGTTCAGTCCGGCATCGCAGTTTAAATCACGTAAACAGAAACGGTCGTTATCCGTTTTTTTTCATTTCGGTTTTGGAGACAAATAATGAAGAAAATAGTTGTTTTATCATTTTCTTATTTTTGGTTTTATATTGAAAAACGAATGACACACGGATCAGACAGACGCTCGAGTTTGACGTCACAGCTTCACAGCTCTTCTCTGATTGGTTGGTGCTCGGTCTACAACTTCTGAGGTTTTTTACAAACTGTCTAGTGTATTCCGATTCCTGACCTAGTCGCTGGAGAGAAATGAAATTGAGCGGAGGAATATTATACACAGAGGAAAGAACGCACGTTTTTAAAAAGGTTTCAGATAAAAAACATTTAAAAAATGTGGTTATAAAAGTTACAAGGTTGGGCTTTAACCAGACCACATACAAACTCAGTGTCCAGTGATTGACCAAGAACAATTTTATTCTACAAAAACGATTAATTTGCCTCGTATTCATTGGTTTTGGAAAGGATTTAAATTATATTCCAAATACTGTTTTTAACCAAAATACAAAAATGCCAACATGAGCCCAGATTTGTGCCAGCAGGAGCGTTGAGGAGTTTTACGACAGGCGTGTTGTGGTCACCTGGGCGAGTCGGTCCTGGACGATGGCCGTGAGCTCCTGGCGGCTGTACGGAGGGAAGTTCAACAGCAGGGGGCGACACTCTGGACGAGCCTGCAGCCGAGGAAGGATCCGGTCTGTGAGGTCCAGAGCGTTGGCGATACCTGGAAATGTAACAGAAGGATGAAGAGGAGGACGGTTAATACAAGGAGCAGAGGAAGAGGAGAGGGAAGAGGAACAGAGGAGGAGAGGAGGAGAGAGGAGTGTCAAGAGGAGCAGAGGATGAAGAGGAGGAGAAGAAAGGGTCAGAGAAGCAGAGGAGCAGAAGAGGAGAGGGTCAAAGGAAGAGGGTCAGAAGAGAAGAGGGGAAGAGGAGGAGAGGGTCAGAGGAGAAGAGGAGGAGAGAAGAGGGTCAGAGGAGAAGAGGAGGAGAGAAGAGGGTCAGAGGAGAAGAGGAGGAGAGGAGCAGAAGAGAAGAGGGAGAGAAGAGGGTCAGAGGAGGAGATGAGGAGGAGAGAAGAGGGTCAGAGGAGGAGATGAGGAGGAGAGAAGAGGGTCAGAGAGAAAGAGGAGAGGGTCAGAGGAGAAGAGGAGGAGAGAAGAGGGTCAGAAGAGAAGAGGAGGAGAGAAGAGGGTCAGAAGAGAAGAGGAGAGGGTCAGAGGAGAAGAGGAGGAGAGAAGAGGGTCAGAGGAGAAGAGGAGGAGAGAAGAGGGTCAGAAGAGAAGAGGGTCAGAGGAGAAGAGGGTCAGAGGAGAAGAGGAGAGGGTCAGAGGAGAAGAGGAGAGAGGTCAGAGGAGAAGAGGAGGAGAGGAGCAGAAGAGAGGAGGAGAAGAAAGGGTCAGAAGGGCAGAGAAGCAGAGGAGAGGGTCGGAGGAGCAGAAGAGGAGAGGAAGTAGAGGCTTGGAGGAGCAGAGGAAGAGAAGGTCAGAGGAGAAGAGGAAGAGAAAGTCAGAGGAAGAAAGGAGGAGCAGAGGAACAGGGTCAGAGGAGGAGAAGGTCAGAGAAGGTCAAAGGAAGAAAGGAGGAGCAGAAGGTCGGAGGAGCAGAGGAAGAGAAGGGCAGAGGAGGAGGGTCAGAAAAAGAAAGCAGAGGGTCAGAGGAGCAGAAGAGAAGAGGGTCAGAGGAGGAGAAGGTCAGAGGAAGAAAGGAGGTCAGGAGAGGGTCGGAGAAGAAGTTCAGAGTGTCAGAGGAGGAAGAGGGTCAGACAAAGATGACTGACAGTTCGGGGGTCGTCTTTCCGACCAATAGCGACTCACCGATGAGGCAGAGGCGGGACTTGGGGAGATGAGGCCATTCGAAGATGGTGTAGAGGACGTCCTGCGCTTTACTGTCCAACTGATCCATCTCGTCCAGCACCAGCAAACTGAAACACACAGATCACACACTTAAAAAAAAAAAAAGTATAATGTTGTTTTCAAATTTACAACAATCAGAAGTCGTATTTAGAAAAGTTCACAGCAGTTTGAACTCTGAAAATCGTTTTCTCTACATTTATTTTCTGGCTTCCCTTAAAAATAAAATCAGCAAAACAAAAAAACGATATTAAAATGCTAAAAACACACACAAAAAAATCTCACAATGAACACATTTTTAAAACACCAGTGACACTTGGAAACAGAACATTTTACCCAGGCCTTAGTTTTTCTACTTTTTTTTTTTTCCTCGTCCCTCTTTCTGAATAAAGTAAAAGCCACAGTACAGATCCTTCAAATTAAATTAAAGGTCGACTCTTCACTTTTCATCAAACTAAATATTTAAAAATAATCACGTGTTTAAAAACTCACACAGCGCGTCCAGGAGCGGTGAGGAGCTTCTGGAGTCCGCTCTGACCTCCGGACGATTTCAGTTTTTCCGACAGAAGAGAAAAGACGGAGTGAGAACTGCGCAGAGTCATGCAGTTCAGCAGCACCGTCTGCACCGACGACAACTGAGACTGAAGAGAGCAGAGCAAAAGAGTCAGATGCCCTCCCAGACTTTACATCCCTGTGTGTCAGACGCCCTCCCCCACTGTGTGTGTGTGTGTGTGAGTCAGGCCGTGTGCACTCCAGTCGTGTGCGAGTCAGGCCGTGTGCACTCCAGTCGTGTGCGAGTCAGGCCGTGTGCACTCCAGTCGTGTGCGAGTCAGGCCGTGTGCACTCCAGTCGTGTGCGAGTCAGGCCGTGTGCACTCCAGTCGTGTGCGAGTCAGGCCGTGTGCACTCCAGTGTGTGAGTCAGGCGTGTGCGAGTCAGGCCGTGTGCACTCCAGTCGTGTGCGAGTCAGGCCGTGTGCACTCCAGTCGTGTGCGAGTCAGGCCGTGTGCACTCCAGTCGTGTGCGAGTCAGGCCGTGTGCACTCCAGTCGTGTGCGAGTCAGGCCGTGTGCGAGTCAGGCCGTGTGCACTCCGGTCGTGTGCGAGTCAGGCCGTGTGCACTCCAGTCGTGTGCGAGTCAGGCCGTGTGCACTCCGGTCGTGTGCGAGTCAGGCCGTGTGCACTCCAGGTCGTGTGCACTCCAGGTCGTGTGCGAGTCAGGCCGTGTGCACTCCAGGTCGTGTGCGAGTCAGGCCGTGTGCACTGTGCGAGTCAGGCCGTGTGCGAGTCAGGCCGTGTGCACTGTCGAGTCCGTGCGTGCGTCAGTCAGTCGTCGTGCGAGTCAGGTCTATGTGCCCAGTCGTCTGTGCGAGTCAGGTCTAGTGCCCCCCTGTCGTCGTGTGCGAGTCAGGTCTAGTGCCCCCCTGTCGTCGTGTGCCCCCCTGTCGTCGTGTGCCCCCTGTCGTCGTGTGCCCCCCTGTCGTCGTGTGCGAGTCAGGTCAAGTGCCCTCCTGTTGTGTGTGTGTGAGTCAGTCAAGTCAGGTCAGGTGCTCTCCAGTCGCACGTGTGTGTGTCAGGTGCCCTCCCGTAGCATGAGTCAAGTCAGGTGAGTCAGGTCAGGTGTCCTCCCTTCACTCGTGTGTGTATTTGCATGTGTCAGATGCCCTCCCGTTCTCACCTTCATGTCGTGGAGGACACAGTTGAGACAGGCCGTTTTCCCCGTTCCCGGAGCTCCGGAGATGTACAGACTTCCGGGTTTCTTCTGCAAAACTTTTTCCTCCAGAAACTGTCGGATGGCGGCGCGTTCGGAGTCGCGCGAGAGGAGACGCTCCGGGACGGCGGTGTGCAGGGCCTGTTTCACACTCAGGAATCTGGACTCTGGAGAAAAAAATTTATAAAAATAAAAAAATCAAGAAAAGGAACACAAGTTAAGAGACGAAATTGGAAAAAATGTAAGACAATTCATCAAAAAAGAAAAGCCAATTGTAATTTTGTCAAGTTTTGGGCAGGTAAAAATGAAATAATTTTGTGAAAAGTTTAAAATGTTGTTATCGTGTCGACACTAAACCGTAATTTAGGCACAAATATTACGAACTGCTCTTACTGTCCGCGAAGAGCCGTACGACGGGCGGCTTTTTGTCCGATCCAAGTTTGGACTTGTGTGGGCTTCCGGTGGGCGTTTCCTGTCTCCGTGGCGACGGTCTGGGGGCGGGGCTGGCGGGCTGTTTCTGCGGAGACGCGATCAGCCGACGTCGAGCGAGGCAGGGCGAGTTCTCGGAGTTTTCGCTGAAGGCCGAGCGTCGCGGGGAGGACAGCGGGGAGGGACGGCTCTGCTTCGGGGGAGAACCCAGAGTCGACACGTTACAGCTGTTTTCATCTCCTGGAAAAAGAAATAAAAAAGGGTTTAATTTAGATTCATTTTGTTGTTTTATTTGTACATAAACACACACTTCTCCAGCTCCATCACAGAGCGTTTATCTGCTGCACCGAGTCTCGTCGTTTTGGTCTTAAAACGTTGAACCCGCCCTGTGTGATCCTGGTGTTTTTATTTTGACTTTTTGCCGTAAATTATTTCCTATTCCTAATCTGGAAAACTTTTATGAAGAGTCACGTGACCGATACATCTACTGTGTCTGCTGCTGCTTTTTTTTTTTAGGACTGGACTGAGCTGGGACCGAGCCGGGACTAAAACAGGACCGAGCCGGGACTAAAACAGGACTAAAATAGGACTGAGCCGGGTCTAAACCTGGACTAAACCGGGACTAAAATAGGACTGAGCCGGGTCTAAACCTGGACTAAACCGGGACTAAAACAGGACTGAGCCGGGTCTGAGCCGTTGTGAGGCTCAATACGTAAATGACGTATCCATGGAAACCAGCAGGTGATGGACCCCAGAGTCGCCCTCGTATCTGCCTCTCACCTGTGCGTTTCCGGGGGCTCAGTGGGACCCTGGTCTGGACACTTGGAGACGAAGGCGGGACCTTCACGACGGGCGATCGCCGCGGAGACAGGGGCGTCAGGGAAACGGGTCGCCGCGGAGACAGGGGACGCTCGGCCGGTCGCCGCGGAGACAGGGGCGTCAGGGAAACGGGTCGCCGCGGAGACAGGGGACGCTCAGCCGGTCGCCGTGGCGACAGGGAGACGGGTTTGGCCTCTGGCTGCCGTGGAGACAGCGGGACTTTCTGGTCCGCGGTCGGGTCTTTGGCCGGAGAGCGGGCGGGGCATCTGTCCACGGCAGTTTTGCTGGAGCGGGCGGAAACGCGGCAGGATTTACGGCGAGGAAACTGGAAGCTGAGGCTGAGCGCGGGCTCCGGAACGAGTGCTCGGCATCCTGCAAGAGAAGAAGAAATTTTGACTTAAACTTTATTGATCCACAAGAGAAATTATTTGGACACAGCGGCTCACACATCAGTAAAACTGTAAAAAATATAAATAATATAAATATAAATACGAAATAAGTAGCAAGAGACTCAAATAAGGCATAATAATATAAATTAGGAGTGTGCAAAACTATTGAAATATCGATTTATCGTATCATTTAATGTGATGATACATTATCGATATCATGGGCTGCTGTATCGATATATCACTAAGAGTATTTTTTTGGTTTATTTTACCAAATCATTTTGTTACAGCTGCAGTTTTGTTGTTTGTTTAGAGGAAGAAAACTCGTTTATGCGACACATTTGACATTTTCACCGTTTTGACGATTAAAATGTTTGTGTTTCATGTGAACTTTGTTAAACCACTTCTTGTGCAACGACTTTTAGTGTCACAGCCATGATTTATTTTTTTTTAAAAATATAATTTTATTTATACACACCCATGATATAGATGTTATTTTTTTATTGAACTGCATCAAATTGATTTGGAATATATCGTATCGAAGTGCGCTGTATCTAGATGTGTATATCGGCAACTTCTAAACGATACCAGCCCTAATATAAATGTCTATGTACACGTCAAAATAAAAATAAAACATTACTTAATTCAAATTTGAGTTTTCGATCCCACGCTAAAGTCGCTCCAAGATTCCAAATATTTTACTCTGCACAGACGAACTGTTCTTAACTCTAACATTTTTATTTCACTTGTACTTAAAGCTACAGTATGTAACATTCTTGGAGGTGGCCTGTCACCTACATGATGATGAATGTAAAGTTAAAGCCATACTGTGGAATATTATACAAAGGGAACAACATTTCCATGGAAGAAACAACAACAAAAAATAAAGTCATGGTTTTGGCTTTAACATTTCGTATTAAGAGAATAATCAAATGGCTGTGTTTTGTCATGTTCAGGAACATGTAGATTTAATATTGAATACTTAAATCATCATAAAAATCAGACTCTAGGTCAGGGGTCTCAAACCTGTCGCCCAGGAGCTACCAGTGGATCTTGACCCCATCCTGAGTAGCTCCCTGAAGGATACAGGAGTTATAAATATTACACCGAATCATTTAAATTTGATTATTCACACGTCTGTTTTCATAGATTTATGGTTTATAAAGAGTGTGATTTGTACCAGAGACCAGACGCCCACAGGAAAATACTGCTTATGATTGATTAAATTAAAATGGTGATTAGTTTATCTTTTTAGAAACACATTTGGTCTCGTTACTAAAACTCATTTGGTTTGTTAGAAAGACCATTGAGCGTAAACACTCCTGTTCCCATTTACGCGCTCATCTTATGAATATGAAGCAAATCAGATGGAGCACGTCGGGCCACACCTCAGCGGGAGTCGTCACCTTCTCACTTTGAAACGTAAATGTCGTCTGTCCATCTCAGTCTATATAAACTTTGTAAGATTTGAGGGACATGCTGCTGGTGAGGCTTTTGGTCTCTCTGTATCTGCTGTGACAAGAACAAACCTTTGTCCGTATTCCAAAAACTTTGCAAATGGATTATATTTTCTTCAAGTTCTATATCATTTTTTCCACAACAATCTAAATACACCCCATCTACAGGACATTGTTACCTGTATACAGTGTTGGGGAGTAACAGAGTTATGTAATCAGAGTACAAATGATGAGTAACTGTATTCAGTTACAGTTACTGTTTCATTGAGTGGTAATTGGATTACAGTTACTTTGTTGAAATAAATGGATTACACAGAGGGATTTTCCTGTTTTCACATTTTGAGCTATATCCCCCTTTTTTTTGGTGGACACTAAACCAGGTCTAAAACCAGATCAAAACCAGGTCTAAACCTGGTCTAAAAACAGGTCCAAACCAGGTCTAAACTAGGACTAAAACCAGATTTAAACCTGGTCTAAAAACAGGTCCAAACCAGGTCTAAACTAGGACTAAAACCAGGTCTAAACCAAGTCTAAAAACAGGTCCAAACCAGGTCTAAACTAGGACTAAAACTAGGTCTAAACCAAATCTAAACCAGGTCTAAACTAGGACTAAAACTAGGTCTAAACCAAATCTAAACCAGGTCTAAACTAGGACTAAAACCAGGTCTAAACCAGATCTAAACCTGGTCTAAAAACAGGTCCAAACCAGGTCTAAACTAGGACTAAAACCAGGTCTAAACCAAATCTAAACCCAGGTCTAAACTATGTCTCAAACAGGATTAAACAGGACTAAATCCTGCTGTGTGGACGTGTTTCTTCTTCTTCTATCAATAATATTTTTAATTTGGTTCAGTAAAGTCTGGGCTTTTTATTTTCTTTTATCAGACAAAACTTCTTATGTGAAGATTTCCTCGTCTTTGCTTCTCTACTGCAAATCAAGTAATCCAAAGTAATCAGATTACATTACTCACTTTAAGTAATTTAATGGATTCCGTTACAGAGAATATTTTGGGGTGTGTAATCTGTAATATGTAGGGGATTACATGTTAAAAGTCACCTTCCCAACACTGCCTGTATATTGTCTCAATTTTGTATAACACCTAAAAAGGAATAGTAGAAATAACTCATCTGGAGTAAAATGTTGGATGGTTTTAGGTAAAATAGTTTTCGCTCTTTTAAAACTACAGACTCCTAAAATAAGATCCTCAGATCATTTCTGCAAGTGTCACCAAAATCCCACATTATAATAGCAAAAACATCCCCCTCCTCCACTTCTGTAAAACTTTAAACTCTTTTATTGACAAAAATGAGGGTGTTTTCTGCTCCTTTTGTTAAACAGCTGCTGCCTCCTTTCACATAAACACGAATAACCGGGTAAAAACTCACCCATTGACAACTTTTGCACTAAACACCTGCAATAATCCACTTAAAACAGCGTGTTCCCTTAAAGATTAAACATTTAAAGTTAAAAAAGTCGTAAACAAACCACAACTTTAAAGACAATAAGAAGAGAAGCCCCGGAATCAGGTCAAACAATGTAATGGCGCCAAAGCACAACTCCGCAAAAAAAAGCTAATTTTTACAATAAATTATCCTTGATCAGCTATGATATTAATCTCCATATTTAGGATGATGTTTACGGTTAACATACATTACAAATAAAGTGGATAAAATATTTAAAAATTGTCGTATTTTGCGCAAGAATTTAGAGATAATTTCATGAAGCAAAGCGGGAGATAAGACTTCCGGTTGCAAAAGTGTCACAAAAACTTCAGAAATCTAATATTTTAACAAATTTAGTCAATTGTAAAGCTGTTGCATGTTTGTATTACATAGTTTTAAAATAAATAAATTAAAGTTAAAGTGAAATTATTGATGTATTTTGAGAGAGAAGCAACACGTGATACACTACCGGGCTGCAAAATGGTACAAAATCGGTTTAAAACTTTTAAAAAATCTGTAGTTTAAACGTATTTACCTTGTTGTAAAAGTTGATGCAGGTTCGTGGGAGTCTGTAGTAGTATTTGATCGCGGCCCTGGTCTCTTCTCGGGTCTTGTTTGGTCCAGTTTTCGCCGCAGACTGAGCGGAAATCTCCCGCACGGACGCGCTCGTATCAGCTGTGTTTCCCGCGACCGCGCTTTGATTGGTCCGCGGTGGCGTCACTTTCCCCCGGACGAGAGCGCTGATTGGCGGAGCGTGCGGCGGAAGTGGCGTCAGGGCGGGGTTTGGCTTTTTGGCGGATTTATTTTTCCCGCGAACTCCCGTCACTTTGTGTTTACATGTTCAGTTTGACTTCGTGTAAACGTGGCGAAAATACTGAAAAAACACGAAAAGTGCAGCGTTTTTAACCTCGTATAACTCTAGAACTGCAACAAATCTGATGTATAACCTCGTATAACTCTAGAACTGCAACAAATCTGATGTATAACCTCGTATAACTCTAGAACTGCAACAGATCTGTTCTGTGTAGAAACTGATGTAACTTAAATACTGTGAGATGGTATCTTCAAATGTACTACAGTAATATATAAATGTACTACACTAATATACAAATGTACTACACTAATATACAATAATATATAAACGTATTGTAGTAATATACAAATGTACTACACTAATATACAATAATATACAACTGTACTACACTAATATACAAGTGTACTACACTAATATATAAATGTACTACACTAATATACAATAATATACAACTGTACTACAGTAGTATACAACTGTACTACACTCATATACAAATGTACTACAGTAATATACAAATGTACTACAATAATCTACAAATGTACTACAGTAGTATACAAATGTACTACAATAATATACAGTAATATACAACTGTACTACAGTAATATACAATGGTACTATGTAATATACAACTGTACTACAATAATATACAAATGTACTACAGTAGTATACAAATGTACTACACTAATATACAACTGTACTTCAGTATTATACAAATGTACTACACTAATATACAATAATATACAACTGTACTACACTAATATACAAATGTACTACAATAATCTACAAATGTACTACAGTAGTATACTAATGTACTACAATATACAACTGTACTACAGTAATATATAATAATATACAAATGTACTTCAGTAGTATACAAATGTACTACAATAATATACAGTAATATACAACTGTACTACAGTAATATGTAATAATATAGAACTGTACTACAGCAATTTACAAATGTACTACACTAATATATAAATGTACTACAGTAGTATACAAATGTACTACAATAATATACAACTGTACTACAGTAATATATAATACAACACAAATGTACTACACTAATATATAAATGTACTACAGTAATATACAAATGTACTACAATAATATACAAATGTACTACAGTAATATACAAATGTACTACACTAATATATAAATGTACTACAGTAATATACTAATGTACTACAGTAATATATACAAGTAATACTCCAAATCCAAGAAACGACTGGAACACGGAGAAAAGATCTGATTTAAATACATTTAAATCAATTACAGAGAGACTTTCTAAGGCAAAATTATTTTATTAGATTTTTTTTACAAACACAAAAAAACAGAACACGAAAGCAGAAGTTCTACAAAAGCGACATCAGACACTGGACTGAGGCTTTGCAGGTGTGAAGTCCGTTTCTGCTTCTTATTTAGTCCATAATTTGTCAAATGTACAAGTTTTTAATCTCAAATAGCAGATAATTTTTTCCATCACGAGAATTTCTGCATCATATCCGTCCATTCTTACAGTTTCAGGGGTTTTAACCTCGTCTGATTCACCAGCAGCTTTAGGATTCGTTCGCTTGACAGTAGGCGGGTACTTTTTTTATTTAACCAATCGCTGCTGTTTGTTTTTGACGTATGTACTGTATTTTTCGGACTATAAGTCGCACTTTTTTTTCCATGGTTTGTGTGTTTCCTGCGACTTATTCTCCGGTGCGACTTCTATATTAAAATGTTTTTCGTGAAGTGTGGAGAGGTTCTAGTACCAATGTCACTTGGCTCTACTGCACATGTCTCCTGCAGAAAGAGCCTCTGTCCTGCTGCAAGTCATGAAATCTGCAGCTGAAAACAGAAATCGAGTAGCAGAAAGAAAGTTTGGAGTGAGAGAGAAACTTGTGACACCAGGAGGATGCCCCATAAAACTTTCCTGAAGTCACTGGATGGACGGACAAAGCCTGGACTCACGTCACAAACGGGGAAGACGTTTGAAAACACGCGGTGAAACTTCCGTAAACGTGCTGAGTGGTAAAATGAAACGTACAGACGTCTGTGCGGTTTGGAATCATCTGGAGTTTGTCCCTTGTCTCGTCTCATCACATGAACCCAGAGCGCTCGGAGGGGAATGATGAAAACTGAGGTCTGGTTGGAATCGTTGATGAGCTGAACATAACGCTACAACGACACGGAGATGGAAAAAACTGCGACAATTTCTAACTTTTCCTACATTTTGTCAGACTTACTCCCACAAACAAAGCCCAAAGGAAGTTTATAATCACATGTTTCCAAACGTCTTCCAGGTTTGTGACGTCAGCGCAAACACAGACGATTCTGACCGGAACCGAAACCGTCCTGTCGGGATTCAGAAAGACCTGAATAATTCTAACTGGAACAGACTGGACGCAGAGTCTGACGACAGCGACGCAGCAGAGGATTTTGTCGGAGTTAATATCGCCAACGGAACGCAAAGGAAATCGTCATCCGCGTGTTTCCAAACGTCTTCCGGTTTTGTGACGTCAACGTGAATAGGTCCAATGCACTGAAAAACTCGGGCTCGCGTCACCACAAACCTGGCTCTTATTTGTCCACTTTCTCCTTTTTTTTTCTGTGGAGCTGATCTTGGCGTAAAACCTCTGTGGAGAATATTCTGAAGTCTGGACACGCCACCTCCAGAAAGTCACACACTCTGCTGTTTAAGAACGATATTAAAACTATAAATGGCGATGACGTGTCTCTAAATTGTAAACGGTGATTAAAATCTTACACAATTTACCGACAGCGACGCAGAAGAGTTTGCGGCGCTCTGTTTACCTCTGGAGGTCGAGGCCGAGTTGTTCAGAAGTGACACCGAGGATGAAGAATTGAATGGATTTAGTGATTTGGAGTGAGATGGAGAGTTTGGTAAATTTGCTCTGTTGTTTATGTAATAGTTTATCTGAAGAACTGTGAAATATGTGACGTTAACATTGTTGTCTATTGTTTTTACTACAACTTCACTTTACACAGGAAATGTCGGTCCCTTATTTTATAAAATACATTTCCCCAAAAAGTGCGACTTATAGTCCGGTGTGACTTATTTATGTTTTTTTCTACTTCACTGAGCATTTTTTAGCTGGTGCGACTTATAGTCCGGAAAATACGGTAATGCGCCAGAACACTCAGCGCGAGCCGGCACAACAGAAAACAAACAAAGCAGAGAGTGAACGTGTCCGTCGACGATGATTGTTGTTTTTGCGAGATGAATGTGCGAAATTAAAAGGTGCAATAAAAAAATTTGAAGTTTGTATTTGAAAAAGGAAGTCCAAAAGAGGAGAGCGTCTGTAGTCCAAGAATTTAAAAGTATTTGGGAAAAGTGCTGAGAGACGAACTGTCAGGACGTAACATCTGATTTATAATTTGACAAAACCTGAAATAAATCCCAAAATCTGCTTTTTTTTTTTTTTTTTCAAAGAACAGACACAAAAATGAGACGAACTAAATCCAACGCGAAGGAGCCGCAAGAAACACAAATCACAAACACAAACATCATTGATTCATTTTGTCACTTCAGTCTTCCTCACAGCGGGAAGAGGAAGCACAACTTTTACTCGAGTACTTCAATACAAAAATGACTCGAGTAGGAGTAAAAGTATGCTGCTAGAGAAGTACTTAAGTAAAAGTAACTGTACTACCAACTCTGGATTTAACGAATTTCTTGCTTCTTCAGGTTTAAGTACCTTAAGTACAGAGTTGGTGCGTTTTTAAGTTTAGTAGAGTGAAATATTGTTCATCGTTTTCCACAAAATGTTGAACCGTTTTTTAAAGATGCACTGCGTAACTTTCCACCAACCAGCCCGTCTCCATGGTTACTGCTGTGACAGGAATCTGTAAAGCATTTTCTAAGATAAAAATGTATTGGAAAACTTACACTGTTACTGCGAGCGGGGGTCGCCTCTGCGCAGATCTGACCCGTAAGCTGGCCTGGAAGCCGTACAGTAAAGGTCTGCTACGAGGGGACAGAATTTTCAGTCCCGCTCCCGCCTGTACATGCCGGAGGATGTTTACTTTCTTAAACTCAATCAAACACAGAGAAGCGAAAGGAATCGGGCTGCGTATGAGAGCAGGCGCGATGGGCGCTCCCGCGGCATGGTTAAGTCCTGGCTAAATCCTGTTTTAGTCCTTTATTAGTCCTGTTTTAGTCCTGTTTTTAGACCTGTTTTTAGACCTGTTTTAGTCCTGGTTTTAGTCCTGGTTTTAGTCCTGGTTTAGTCCTGGCTAAATCCTGTTTTAATCCTGGTTCAGTCCTGTTTTTAGACCTGGTTTTAGTCCTGGTTTAGTCCTGGCTAAATCCTGTTTTAGTCCTGTTTTTAGATCTGTTTTTAGACCTGTTTTAGGCCTGATTTTTGTCCTGTTTTAGTCCTGTTTTAGTCCCATTTTAGTCCTGTTTTTAGACCTGGTTTAGTGGCAGAACGGTCTGCACGGCCAAATAAATGGAAAATGGAAAAATGGAAAAACGGATAACGAACTGAAACAGGACTGAACCAAGACTGAACCAAAACTGAACGAGAACTGAGACCGGAACTGAGATCAGGACCAGACTGTGACCTGGTTTAGTCCTGGTTTTGGTCCTGGTTCAGTCCTGGTTTAGTCCCGTTTTGGTGTGGTCCTGGTCTCGGTCTCAGTCTCGGTCTGGTTCGGTCCTGCCCCAGTCCTGGTTCAGTCCGGCATCACAGTTTAAGTCACGTAAACGGGAAACGGTCGTTATTGTTTTTTCCATTTTGGTTTTGGAGACAAATAATGAAGAAAATTGTTGTTTTTTCGTTTTCTTATTTTTGGTTTTATAGTTTGTGAATTTGCATCGTTTCTGTTTTGAAGCCTTTTTCTCGAACTGCGACGCTTGAAACAAAAACACAATTAAATAAAAAACGAACAGCAGTAGGAATCTCCACGGCAGCTGAAAAGTCCCACAGTGCGTCTTTAACCGTCGATACTACAGTAAATTAAGTTCTGCTTTTTCTCGCGGCTCCTGTGCTTGTGCTCGTGCCGTCTGAGGTAACCCCTGTCCCCGAAGCCTTTACCGCAGAAGGAACAGCTGAAAGGTTTGTCGTCCGAGTGCACGCACATGTGCGTGCTGCAGTCCTGCTTCTGCGCGAACGCCTTCTTACAAACCGGGCAGCTGAACGGTTTCTCCCCCCTGTGCACTGCCGCCACGTGCCGGGACACGTTGTACTGCTGCTTGAACCTCAAACCGCACTCCGGACACCTGTACGGTCTTTCTTCGCTGTGGTTTTTCATGTGTCTGTTCAGAAAATACCCCTGACTGAACTTCTGCTTACAAACTGAACAGCTGAAGGGTTTTTCTTTAGTGTGAGTTCTCAGATGCGTCCTCAGCTGAGATCTGAACGTGAACGTTTTGTCGCAGCTCTCGCAGCGGAAAGGGTTGCTGTGGTTTTCCATGTGTTTGCGTAAATAGGACGGACGCTTGAACTGCTTCCCGCACTCTGGGCACTTGAGCTGGCTCGGGTCCAGCTTTTTCCTACGGTCTCTCTTTGATTTCTGCGTTGCCGTTTTGTTTTCTGGCGTTTTCGGCGCGGCCGGTTCCAGCTCGGACGCGCCGGAGGAGCCATGTGGAGCGTTTGTGTCGTTTTTCAGATCAGAGCTGCAGCCTGGCGTCTCCTCTCGGCCTTTCTTCAGTAAAACATCTGCAGGACACAGAGGTCACAGCTCACATCTTTGGATATTAACCAGTGTCAAAAGAGGGGAAAATTAAGATCGCTGCCATGACAGTTCAAAAACTAAACATCTGTAATGGTCAAAAGTCCTCAAAATGGCGTCCAATGAAAACTGAACACTTAACATTTTGCTTCTCTTCACTCCTTTTTGAAATGATTGATTTTGTAGACTATAGTCGTGGTTAATCATGTAAAATAATTGACTTTATGTTATTTCTGTTATATCAAATATCCGAATAAACATATTATTATACTAAATTTGTTGTCTTTTTAAAATTTTATGTAGTTTTATGGCATTTGTTTTCGTTTATATACCGTATTTTTCGGACTATAAGTTGCACTTTTATTCATGATTTGTGTGTTTCCTGTGACTTCTATATTAAAATGTTTTTGGTGAAGTGTGGAGAGGTTCTAGTCTTGTGTGTGAGTATCTGCTGCTCCTGTTCCTCCTGCACCACTGTCACTTGGCTCTACTGCGCATGTCTCCTGCAGAAAGAGCCTCTGTCCTGTCTGTATCATGTCAGTCGATCGCACCATTAAAATTTAAACTTTAAAATTATAAAGACGACTGAGAAGACTGAACACAAATGCCCCAAAAACAAAATCAGATTCTGCAGATTACAAACTGCAAATCGTGAAATCTGCAGCTGAAAACCGGAAATCGAGCGGCAGAAAGAAAGTTTGGAGTGAGAGAGAATCTTATGACACTTGTGAAACTTTCCTGAAGTCGCTGAACGGATGGACAAAGCCTGGACTTCAGTGACACCGAAACCATCCTGTCGGGATTCAGAAAAGCGTCTCTGTTCATGCTCACGTCACAAACCCGGAAGACGTTTGAAAACACGCGGTGAAGCTTCCGTACACGTGCCGAGTGGTAAAATGAAGCGTGTAGACGTCTGTGCGGTTTGGAATCATCTGGAGTTTGTCCCTCGTCTCGTCTCATCACATGAACCCAGAGCGCTCGGAGGGGAATGATGAAAACTGAGTCTGGTTGGAATCGTTGATGAGCTGAACATAAGAGAACAAAACATTTTCTAATTTTTCCTACATTTTGTCAGACTCACTCCCACAAACAAAGCCCAAAGAAAGTTTGTAATCACATGTTTCCAAACGTCTTCCTTTTTTTGTGACGTCGGCGTGAACAGAGACGATTCTAACCGGAACCAAAACCGTTCCTGTCGGGATTCAGAAAGACCCGAATAATTCTAAATGGAACTGACGCCGTGTCTGACGACAGCAACGCACGAGAGTTTGCGGCGCTGTGTTTACCTCTGGAGGTCGAGGCCGAGTTGTTCAGAAGTGACACGGAGGATGAAGAATTGAATGGATTTAGTGATTTGGAGTGAGATGGAGAGTTTGGTCTGTTGTTCTCTCTTCTATTATTTTTACTACAACTTCACTTTACACAGGAAACGTCTGCTGCTGCTCTCTCATTTTATAAAATACATTTCCCGCAAAAAAGTGCGACATATATATGTTTTTTTCTTCTTCATTACGCATTTTTTGTCTGGTGCGACTTATAGTCCTGTGAGCGGGGTCGCCTCTCCACAGATCTGCCTTCTAATCTGCTCTGGTTTGGTCTCCATGGAGATAGTACGACGTTATAAACCTTTCTATCTCTACGGAAACCAAACCGAAGTAAATCAGAAGTCAGATCTGTGAAGAGATTTTTGGGGGGATTTTTGCGCTCTAAAACCACCTGCAATTGAGTAAATATAGTAAAGTAGAGCTGTTTAAAGTCACACTGTGGGACATTCCAGGCAGAGCAGTGACGTCCCTTTATAGAAAAGCATTTGAGGGACCGTCTGCCAGAAAAGTGACACAGTGCAGCTTTAGCACACAGAGGAGGGAGGGAGGGACGCTTTTGTCTCTTCTTCTCCTCGAACTTGACTTTACACAGGAAAAATCTGCTCCTGGTCTCCGATTTTATAAAAAGTGACACCTATATGTGTCTTTTTCTTCTTTATTACACATTTTTGGACTGGAGTGACTTATAGTCCGAAAAATACGGTAACTCAAATTCTGCCGTCTTGATTTCGAAGTTTTGGTGTAGGTTTGTGTAAAAAAAAAAAAAAAAGCCTCTTAAATCTGAATAGTAGTTTTGTGCCTAACTAAAACGCCAGATATAATTTCATTTTCTCTAACTTCACCTGCTCTGAGCGCCTGCGTGGCTCTTCTGTACGTGTTTATTGAGAGAAGCTCGGACGCGGAAGCCCTTCCTACAGTAAGTACAGATAAAGGGCTTCTCCCCGGTGTGTGTCCTCATGTGGATGGTAAAATCGCTCTTTTGTGCAAATGCTTTCTCGCAGAACAAACAGCTGAAGGGCTTCTCCCGCCTGTGAACGGCCGAAATGTGACGGTGCATGTTGTGCTGCTGTTTTAGCCTCAAGCCGCACTCCGGGCAGCTGAACGACCTCTCCTCTGAGTGCGACTGCATGTGGCGCTTTAAGTGAGCTTTCTGCATGAACTCTTTGCTACAAACCGAACACCTGAAGGGCTGCGCGTAGTGGGAGCGCACGTGCCGCTTCCAGTGATTCTTATGACGGAAACATTTGCTACAAACCGAGCACCTGTAAGGCTCCTCGTCCGTGCCCATGTGAGAATCGAGCAGGTTAGAAAAGGCCTGGTTTTGCAAGTGAATCGTCGCATTTACGTTGCCGGAAAAGTTTGAGAAAGACAGGAGTTCGTTGTCATCATCTCTACCTGTGTTTGAGTCCTCTATAAGAACTAAATCAGAATCCTGCCCGTCGCTTTTGGTCGATCTTTTGCTCGAGGGCTCCCAGTCTTCAGAATCCTCCGTGTCCGAACAGCTGGACGGTCGCTCGTTGTTTTCCGACTGCAAATCCAAGCTGCAGCCAGGCTCCTCGCCGCCGTACGGCTTCTGGACGATCTCGCGCCCCTTCTCCTCGGCCGGTTCCTCTTCCCCTTCGTGCCGGAACGCGGATTTGTCGAGGTGCTCTTCGGATTTGAGAGGCAGAGGTGTGAACGAGAACGCCACGGACGGCTCTTCTTCTTTCTTGATGAGCACGGGTGTTGCCTTTTCGGGTCGTTCGGGGCTTTGGTGCACGTCTGGAGGAGCTGAGGAAAGCTGCACGACTATAAAGAAGAACACACAGAAAAAAAAGGGTGAACAGCGAGTTTAAAAGACGGAATTTAAACAACTCTACTTTACATTTGGGTCTTGGTCAAGTGGTAACGGAGGGAAACGGGCAGATTTTTTACATTCAAATGTCTCTTATTCAGAAACTAGTGGGACTATTGAAATAAGTAAAGTATCAGAATGTAGGAAAGAGTTACACTCCAACAGGGTCAAGTTAAACCTGTGAGATTCTTTCAAGTTCAAGACAAAAATTTAAAAATTCATGTTGGTAACGGAGAGAATGAAATATGCAGCACTTTTTGGGCAATAAATATGTAATAGCCTGGTGGCAACCTTAGCGGTTTTAGGAGGTCAAATTGAGCCAGTTTACAGTGCAGATCCCAGTGCATTTATTAAAGACAAAACAAAAACAATTTACAGAAGTTCCAAAAAGGTTAAAAACAGGCATAGCAGTTACCTGCGCTCACACAGCACCTCTCTCTAAACAAGGTGAGGCTGGCTTCTTTTAAAGGCCCTGTCCTAATTGGGTGAGCCCACTTTAACGATCAGGTAAGCACCAATAATTTGTACATTTAATATCTAAAAACCAACTATCAAAACAGTGCCCAAACAACATCCAATTACATCAACTATCAAAATATATATATCTTTATTTAAATTAGCAGTGTTCAATGTTTTAAAATACTAAATAGAACCAGTTAAAAATTTGTGCTCCCCTCCTCCAAACAACATGGTTGGCTGCCCCAGAACCTTCTTAAGGTGCTCTGGCTCCCCGGGGACTCTTTTGGCCGGAGCACCTGAGGCAGACCACACCAGAGGGTAAGTACAATTACTTCGATTTAAATGCACTTTTACTTTTACTTATTTCCTTTTCTTTTACAGGTAACTTCAATCTGCACATAAATTTTCAATAAACATTTCTAAAACTTTGTTTCAGTTCCTCATTTTACCTTTTAACTAGCCCTAGGCCCTAGTAATGGACTGGCTACATTCGAAAATCCAAACAGTGATAACTCTTGGTTCTCACTTACATATCCTTAACAAACTGGTTTGAATATTTGCGTCATATAGTTTTCTACCATATGGTACAAGATTAGGTTGAAAAACCTCTTACTTTTTGACTCATGAGATTTTTTATTAAGAAAGGTCATGGTTGTCGCTTTTTTCTTCTGAATACTTTAATATTACTTCAAAATGAAAGGAAACTATTTCTAAAAAATATGTCAGTCCTTTCAAGCTAATTTTTATCATTTTCAATACATTTTTTTTTGAAAAATCATGTACCTTCATCAACAGTTCAAAGATGGAATAACAATCCATTTATTTACATGATTTGCAGGTTTTTGAAATTTGGGAAATAATTTTTGTTCCATGTTTCATACATGGTCTGTTTAAAACGTATGGAACTTTAGAACCAAAAATGGTACAGAAAAAAGGTCAACAGTTTCATAAACTAGAGTACATATGTATCTGTTTAATACATTTTTATATCAGGTGAATTAACTTGAATTTTTGGCCTTGTTGTTTACTTCTGCTTGACCGGGACCACTTGTTCAAGTACAGGGGGTTTTATAGCTCAAAAACACTTAGAAAAACAGATACTGTATTTTTCAGACTGTAACTGTCACTTTTTTCATGGTTTGTGTGTTTCCTGTGACTTCTATATTAAAATGTTTTTTGTGAAGTGTGGAGAGGTTCTAGTCTTGTGTGTGAGTATCTGCTGCTCCTGTTCCTCCCGTATCACTGTCACTTGGCTCTACTGCGCATGTCTCCTGCAGAAAGAGCCCCTGTCCTGTCTGTATCAGTCGATCGCACCGTTACTTCTGCACCACTCAACTATTAACACTTTAATAATTTAATTAACTTTAAACTCATAAAGACAAAGACTGCGAAGACTGAACACAAACGCGCCCAAAAACAAAATCAGATGCTGCAGATTACAAACTGCAAGTCGTGAAATCTGCAGCTGAAAACGTAAAAGGAGCAGCAGAAAGAAAGTTTGGAGTGAGAGAGAAACTTGTGACACTTATGAAACTTTCCTGAAGTCACTGGATGGACGGACAAAGCCTGGACTTCAGCGACACCGAAACCATCCTGTCGGGATTCAGAAAGACCCGAATAATTCTAACTGGAACTGATGCTGCGTCCACACGTCAACGCTTCTGAATCCGTGTATCATTCGTTCATTCGTTTTTCAATATAAAACCAAAAATAAGAAAACGAAAAAACAACTGTTTTCTTCATTATTTGTCTGCAAAACCAAAATAAAAAAACAGATAACGATTCGTTTTTTCAGTTTTCAATTTTGTGTTTAAATGAAACATGGAAAAAATGGATAACGGGCGTTTCCCGTTTACGTGACTTCCGTGACTGTGATGCCGGACTTTTGCACCGGGTACGGACTGAACCAGGACTGATCCAGGTCCGAGACCAGACCCGGACCAGAGTCGGACTGAGACCGGGACCAGAGCGGTACCAGAGCAGACTCTGAGCTTTGACTCGGAGCCTCCGCGGGGTCCGAGCCTCAGCTTCGAGCTCCGGCCCTGCTGTGGGCCCTGAACCTCCGGTCTGGTCCCAGTCTGGTCCCGCTCTGGTCCCGGTCTGGTCTCGGACCTGGATCAGTCCTGGTTCAGTCCAGATGCGGTGCAAAAGTCCAGCATCGCAGTCATGGACGTCATGTAAACGGGAAACGGTCGTTATCCGTTTTTTTCCATTTTTCATTTAAACACAAAATCAAAAACTGAAAAAACTAATCATTATCTGTTTTTTCATTTTGGTTTTGGAGACAAATAACGAAGAAAACTGCAGTTTTTTCGTTTTCTTATTTTTGGTTTTATATTGAAAGACAAATGAACGAATGATACACGGATTCTTCTGGATTTTTTCTTTTACAGGTTGAAAAAAATTTGCGTCCACACACGTGTCGGATCAATAAATATTCACCTCCACACAACAATGAAGTGAAAACGATGTAATACATCTACCACACCTGTATGTGGCGCTGTTGACGATAATGATAATAATATTTAATAATGCAAATCTCAGTTTTTTTTTTAGTAGGCTGCACCTGTCACATTTCGGCATCGCTCTTGCGGTCTGTGGAGGCCAGTTCGAGGTTCGAGGGCTTCAGACTTCGCTGCATTTCTCTGCTGCTTTCTCAGATGTCTCCACTCTGGAACCTGTTTCACCCACACGAAACGTCGGCTCCGTGTGAATGAAAGGCCAAAACGAATAAAAACTTCACCGTTTTGACCAAAAAACATTGTCATGTGAACCGGCCCTGACGCTGAGTCTGACGACAGCAACACAGAAGAGTTTGCGTCGCTCTGTTTACCTCCGGAGGTCGAGGCCGAGTTGTTCAGAAGTGACACCGAGGATGAAGAATTGAATGGATTTAGTGATTTGGAGTGAGATGGAGAGTTTGGTTAAACTTGTTCTGTTCTGTTGTTAATAGTTTATCTGAAGAACTGTGAAATATGTGACGTTAACAGTCTGTTGTTCTCACTTCTGTTGTTTTTACCAACTCCACTTTACACAGGAAATGTTGGTTCCTGCGGCTTAGTGCGACATAGATATATTTGTTTCTTCTTCATTACACATTTTTTGGCTGAAGTGACTTCTAGTCCAGAGTAGAGATGGGCAATCGATTAAATTTTCTTAATCGATCATTGGGAGAATTAACGATCAATTATCGATTAATCATTAATGTTTTTATATTAAAATGATCATCATTATGATTAGTATCTGCACTAATCTGCATAAATAAATTCAACTTTACAACATAAAACATAACCACTCTCGAGCCACATCAACCCGTTTGACATTATAATGTGTTTAATGCAGATTTGTTCAAGTCTCACAGAAACAAAACTTAAAACTGCATGACTCATTTACATAAATGTTAAAGAGTCCCACAGTGCGGCTGATTAGAAGAGCAAGACCAAACGTGAAGCAAAAACCAGTCTTTTGTGTTCCAGTGTTGGCACAAAGCAGGTCTACAGCATAGAGCGGATCTACAGAACAGACCTACTGCCACATTTGGCTGAAGTTTGTCTAACAAAAGTGATAAATGCATCTGTGTTTGTCACGATGTGCGTTTGGTTTGGTAAATGTGCAGAGGCTGGTAAATATCAAAATCAGAAAAGAATGAAACTCCAGTTTGGAACTTTAAAAAACAGGTTTAAAAATCTTCCTTCACTTTTTTCACAGTTTTGTGTAAAGTGCCAGAGGAAGTTCTCTTAAAGAAGAGGTTCTCAAACTGTGGGGGAGGGTCCAAAAAAGGGGCACAGAGTGTTTCAGTGCAGTTTGTTTGGCTTTGTATTAGGAAGATCATTTTGACTTGGTCATTTTGTAAGTAGCTCACATGATGAAAAAGTGTGAACACCTCTGGTTTAGATGATTCTTTGTCTTATTTCATCAAAGTGTATTTCTCACGGGAAAACCAACTTCTCATTAACTGTTATCTTCCCCAAGGACAGTCCTCCCTACACCTCAGCAGCTGGCACACACACACACACACACACACACACACACACACACACACACACACACACACACACACACACACACACACACACACACACACACACACACACACACACACACACACACACACACACACACACACACACACACACACACACACACACACACCTTTATTCTCTGTGTTTTTTACTGTGACAGAAAAATGTAAACGCCCATTTATTCTTGTAACCTGTGTGATTCAATAAACACGCGACTAGGGCTGGGTATCATTAAGAAGTTGCCGATACGATACATATCCCGATACGGTGCACTTTTGATTCGATACGATATATTTCAAATTGATTCGATACGGTTCAGTAAAAAATAAAGGCTAACTCTATACGTGATACTAAAAGTCTTTGTAACACTTTATAATAACTACACCTTATTTAGCCTTAACAAAGCATGAACAAAGACTTAATTATTAATGAACAAAGACTTAATTAATAATGATTCATGCTTAGTAACTACTTAATTACTACCTTAATTAGCACTTGCACTTAATTTGCCTGTGCTGTAAATAGTTACTCATAATTATTTCATACTTAATTACTCATGAACTAACCATTTGAGCATTTATTAATCATTAATCATAGTATTACTATGAGAGAATGATTTACTAATAATGCAATGCAATGATAATTCAGGCAGCTGTTATCTGTTAAGAAAAGCTCTCAAAAAAGACTTAACTAAGTGAAGACAAATTATGCTTTATTAAGCATTTACTAAGTGTGAATCATTATGAATTAAGTCTTTATTCATTATGAATTAAGTCTTTGTTCATGCTTTATTACGGCTAAATAATGTGTAGTTATTATAAAGTGTTACCAAAGTCTTTGTTAAACCACTTCTTCTTGTGCTAATTTCATATGAAACACAAATATTTTATTCATCAAAACAGTGAAAATGTCAAATGTGTCGCATAAACGAGTTTTCTTCCTCTAAACAAGCAACAAAACTGTAGCTGTAACAAAATAATTTAGTAAAATATACCAAAAAATACTCTTGGTGATGTATCGATACAGCAGCCCACGATATCGATACTGTATCATCACTTAAAACGATACGATATATCGATATTTTTATATTTTTGCACACCCCTACTTAAGAGTCTGAAAAAAAATACCGTATTTTCACTATGTGCGGGGTCGCCTCTCCACAGATCTGACTTCTAACCTGCTCTGGTTTGGTCTCCACAGAGATAGAAAGGTTTATAACGCCGTACTATCTCCACGGAGACCAAACCGGACTAAATCAGAAGTCAGATCTGCGGAGAGGAGACCCCGCTCACAGTCAGAACGCCTGTTTTTCTAGGGATTCTTGAGCTCTAAAACCAGCTGTAATTGAGTAAATGTAATAAAGTAGAGCTGTTTAAAGTCACACTGTGGGACATTCCAGGCAGAGCGGTGACGTCTCTTTATAGAAAAGCATTCGACGGCTCCTCCGCCAGAAAAGTGACACAGTGCAGTTTTAACACGCAGAGGAGGGAGGGACACTTTTGTCTCTTCTTCTTCAGGATCTGCTGACCCTCCCTGACCAGAGTTTTCCCGCGAAACCAACTCAAGCGCAGAGTGAACGTTACCGCGGCAACAACTTTAATTTCCCTCAGGATCAATAAAGTCTGTCCCTCCGTCTCCCTCTTTCTCTAAAACAGGACTAAACCGGGACTAAACCGGGACTAAACCAGGACTAGACCGGGACTAAAGCAGGTACAAGACCGGGACTAAACCAGGACTAGACCAGGACTAGACCAGAACTAAACCAGGGCCTAGAACTTGACTTCACACAGGAAATGTCGGCTCCTGCTCTCTGATTTTATCAAATAAACTTCCTCCAAAAAGTGCCACTTATTTATGTTTTTTTTCTTCTTTGTTAAAATCAATAAATAAATAGATCAATAAAATCTCTGTCTCTGTTTGTCGCCGTCTTTCTCTCTCTTTTTCTCTCGAGCAAAACAGTTTTAACTTAAGTAATTTGTGAGAATAATTTAAAATAAAAACAATAATAATAAAAGTTCTGATGGTGTCTGAGTCGTTGGACTGAAACTCGAAGGAGACGAAGCAGAGGAAATGTTACTGCAGCAAAACTTCAATTTCCCCCAGGATCAATAAAGTCTGTCCCTCCATCTCCTCCATCTCTCTCTTTCTCTAAAACAGGACTAAAGCAGGTACTAGACCAGGACTAAACCAGGACTAAAGCAGGACTAAAGCAGGTACTAGACCAGGACTAAACCAGGACTAAAGCAGGTAATAGACAGGACTAAACTGGGTACAAGACTGGGACTAAACCAGATACTAGACCAGGACTAAACCAGGAATAAAACAGATACTAGACGAGGTACTAAACAAGGACTAAACCAGGACTAAACTGGGTACGAGACAGAAACTAAACCAGGAATAAAACAAGATACTCGACCAGGTACTAAACAAGGACTAAACCAGGACTAAACCAGGACTAAACTGGGTACGAGACAGAAACTAAACCAGGAATAAAACAAGATACTCGACCAGGTACTAAACAAGGACTAAACCAGGACTAAACCAGGACTAAACTGGGTACGAGACCGGGGCTAAATCAGATACTAGACCGGAGCATAACCAGGACTAGACCAGGTACTAAACCAGGTCTAACCAAGGTACTAGACCAGGACTAAACCAGATACTAGATCGGGACTAAACTAGACCAGGTACTAGACTGGGCACTGGACTAGGTACTAGACCGGGACTAAACCAGGTATTAGACTGGGATTAAACCAGGTATTTGACCAGGACTAAACCAGGACTAGACCAGGTACTAGACCAGAACTAAAGCAGTTACTAGACCGGGGATAAACCAGGACTAAAACAGATACTAGATCAGGTACTAGACCAGATACTAGACCGGGACTAAATCAGGTACTAACCAAGGACTAAACCAGAACGAAACCAGGACTAGACCAGAATTAAAACAGGTACTAGACCAGGATTAAACCAGGATTAAACCAGATACTAGACTGGGACTAGCCCGGGATTACACCAGGTACTAAACCAGGTACAAGACCAGGACTAAACTAGGACTAGACCAGAAGTGAAACAGTTACTAGACTAGAACTAAACCAGGACTAAACCAGGTAGTAGTCCGGAAACTAAACCAGGTACTAGACCGGGACTACACCGGGAATACACTAGGTACTAAACCAGGACTAAACCGGGACTAGACCAGGTACTGGACCGGTACTAGACCGGTACTAAACCAGGACTAGACCAGAATTTAAACAGTTACTAGACCAGGACTAAACCAGGTACTAGACCAGAACTAAACTGGGTAGTAGTCCGGAACTAAACCAGGTACTAGACCAGAACTAAACCAGGTACTCAACCGGGATTAAACTAGTACTAGACCGGTACTAAACCAGGACTAAACCAGATCTAGATCCATCAGTGCCGGGCGCAGAACACATTTTTATTTCTCCCAGAGTTTTATTTTGAAAATCCAGCCACCCTAAAACACACAATGTATAAAAATGAGGTAGTAAAATGTTTTAGACTCTTAATAAACCAAAACTGGATTCATTCTAACTTAAAAAAACGATGTTAAAAAAAAAAAGAGACAAATGTTGGAGACAAACAAAGCTCGAGCTCGTACCAGACCCGCTCAGCTCCACTCGAGTCTCCTGCAGCAATTTGGGCCAGAACCTCCTCTTCATACTCCGCAAAGGTCCTAAACCAGGACTAAACCAGGACTACGCCAGGACTACGCCAGGACTACGCCAGGACTACGCCAGGACTACGCCAGGACTACGCCAGAAGTGAAACAGTTACTTGACTAGAACTAAACCAGGACTAAACTGGGTAGTAGTCCGGAGCTAAACAAGGTACTAGACCGGGACTACACCGGGAATACACTAGGTACTAAACTAGGACTAAACCGGGACTAGACCAGGATTAGACCAGGACTAAAACAGTTACTAAACCGAGACTAGACCAGGTACTGGACCAGGTACAAGACCGGTACTAGACCGGTACTAAACCAGAATTGAAACAGTTACTAGACCAGGACTAAACCAGGACTAAACCAGGACTAAACCAGGTGCTAGACCAGGTGCTAGACCAGAACTACACTGGGTAGTAGTCCGGAACTAAACCAGGTACTAGACCAGAACTAAACCAGGTACTCAACCGGGATTAAACTAGTACTAGACCGGTAATAAACCAGGACTAAACCAGGTTTAGATCCATCAGTGCCGGACGCAGAACACAGTTTTATTTTGAAAATCCAGCCACCCTAAAACACACAACGTATAAAAATAGAAATGAGGTAGTAAAATGTTTAGACTCTTAATAAACCAAAACTGAATTCATTCTAACTTTTTTTTTTTTTTTAAAAACGATGTTTACAAAAAAAAAAAAGAGACAAATGTTGGAGACAAACAAAGCTCGAGCTCGTACCAGACCCGCTCAGCTCCACTCGAGTCTCCTGCAGCAATTTAGACCGCAGAACCTCCTCTTCATACTCCGCGAAGGTCCGTTCGAAAAGCGCAAAAATCTCATCCGCGGCGACTGCGAGCCTCTCCACCACCAGATTGCGCAGAGCCTGGTGTTTGTACGACATTTTTTTTTTTTTTTTTTACTGCGCTGGATCCGCTCCGTTCCGCCGTTAGCTCCGCATTAGCCGCCGCCGCCGCCGCTACTACCGCTGCCGCTGCTGCTTCGTCCGCTAGTCCCGGCAGACTGGAGGTGACGGGGGCGCGACGCTGCCCCCCACCGCCGCTACAGGGTATTACAGGCTCACGTAAAGACTGCGCATGGGCGTATTTTATTATATTTTACTTTACTTTACTTTACTTTACTTTACTTTATTTTATTTTACTTTATTTTACTTTATTTTATTTTACTTTATTTTACTTTACTTTATTTTATTTTACTTCACTTTATTTTACTTCACTTTATTTTACTTCACTTTATTTTACTTCACTTTATTTTACTTCACTTTATTTTACTTTACTTTATTTTACTTTACTTTATTTTACTTTACTTTATTTTACTTTACTTTATTTTACTTTACTTTATTTTACTTCACTTTATTTTACTTTGCTTTACTTTATTTTAATTTATTTTACTTTACTTTATTTTTCTTTATTTTATTTGACTTTGCTTTACTTTATTTTACTTTAATTTATTTTGTTTTACTTTATTTTGCTTTATTTTATTTGACTTTACTTTATTTGACTTTACTTTATTTGACTTTACTTTATTTGACTTCATTTTGCTTTATTTTATTTGACTTTAATTTATTTTACTTCACTTTATTTTACTTTAATTTATTTTACTTTACTTTATTTAACTATTTTAATTTTACCGCTGCTTCGTCCGCTGGTCCCGGCAGACTGGAGGCGACGAGGCGCAACGCTGCCCCCCACCGCCGCTACAGGGTATTACAGGGTCACATAAAGACTGCGCATGCGTACGATCTCAAGCGCTAAACCAGCGCTAATTGTATTTAATTTAATAATTGTATTTAATTTAATTTAATTGTCCTTTATTTTACTTTACTTTATTTTGCTTTAATATATTTACTTTATTTTACTTTAATTTATTTAATTTTACTTTATTTTAATACATTTTATTTTACTTTAGTTCACTTGATTTTATTTTGCTTTAATTTATTTTACTTTATTTTATTTTACTTTATTTTATTTTAATGTATTTTACTTTATTTGATCTTACTTTATTTTATTTTACGTTATTTTATTTTACTTTATTTTGCTTTACTTTACTTCACTTTATTTTACTTGACTTGACTTTATTTATCTTATTTACTTTATTTTAAAGCCAAAACAAAACAAAAACAAAACTGACAAACTGACAAAATGAGCAGACTCACCGACAGCATCCGGAGGTCAGGAGAAAAGTCCAACAGCGCCGCCTGCTGGTCACAAAGGCGCACTGCATTTTCTTTTACATTTTTTAAAACTGCAAAATTAGGGAGACCACGATTTCAACATCAAAAACTGGAACACTGTTTGGTTTGTGGTGATTGGTAATAATAAAATTGTGAAATGAGTGCATAAGGAAAATCATTCTGCACCCGGTCAGTCAGTATAGTCGCATTTTCTTTGTGTTTTGGTCAGTTTTTAAAGCAGCTTTTCTGTATTTTACCAAAACAAATGACAGTTTGTGTTGCTTTTTATTGTTGGAGGAGATTAAATTAGTCAAAAATAGGGACATTTCTTGTACAAAACTGGGACAAATCACTGTTTTTTTGTATGAATCTGCTGGGACAGGGGACACAGACTCAAAACTGGGACTGTCCCGGGAAAACAGGGACGTCTGGTTGCTAAAATTAAAATCACTTCTGCAAATGTTTGGTAAAATTATGCATCTTTTTCGAACAATCAAAACTTCAACAAAATAAGAAATGTCACTTGCAAAGAGTGACCAGATTGTGGTGGTTGGTAACAATAAATAAAATTGTGAAACGAGTGCGTAAATAAGGACAATTTTAAAGCACAAAGCCAGTATAATCACATTTTCTTTGTGTTTTGGTCTTTTTTTCAGCATCCTTTTCTGTATTTTACCAAAACAAATGACAAATGTCTCTTTTTACTGTTGTCAGGGATCAAATTGGTCAAAAATAGGGACATTTCTTGTATAAAACTGGGACAAATCAGTGGTTTTGTATAAATCGGCAGGGACAGGGGACACAGACTCAAAACTGGGACTGTCCCGGGGAAACAGAGACGTCTGGCATGTCCAAACTACGGCCTGTTTCTTGGCCCTCAGAGTTCCAGGTGAACTGGCCTAAATTACCTTGCATCAATTTAAAATCAAATTTTTACTGCAAATAAACTAAGAGAGGACTGAACCAGGAGTAAACCAGGACTGGACCAGGACTGGACCAGGACTGGACCAAGACTAAACTGGTCTCAGTCCTAGTCTCAATCCCTGTTCAGGTCCGGTCCCAGTCTCAGAACTGAACCAGGACTGAACCAGGACTGAACCAGGACTGAACCAGGACTGAACCAGGACTGAACCAGGACTAAACCGGTCTCAGTCCTAGTCTCAATCCCTGTTCAGGTCCGGTCCCAGTCTCAGAACTGAACCAGGACTGAACCAGGACTGAACCAGGACTGAACCAGGACTGAACCAGGACTAAAACAGCTCTAAACTGGTCTCAGTCCCTGTCCTGGTCCGGTCCCAGTCTCAGGACTAAACCAGGACTGAACCAGGAATAAAACAGCTCTAAACCAGGTCTAAACCGGTCTCAGTCCCTGTCCTGGTCCAGTCTCAGAACTAAACCAGGTCTAAACCAGGTCTAAACCAGGACTGAACCAGGACTGAACCAGGACTGAACCAGGACTGAACCAGGACTGAACCAGGACTGAACCAGATATGCGCCTGCGTAGACTGTCAGGAGATCAGGAAACCGGGACCAGACTGGGACGAAGACCGGGACAGAGACCTGGATAAGTCCTGGTTTAGTCCTGGTTTAAGTCCCGGTTTTGTAAACTGCAGTGACATTTTTAAACCAGCTGGAGGCGTGCCACAGCTTTTGGTCCAAATAAAACGACTTCACTGAACGGTTTGACACTTAAATGTTTATTTAGTTGAAACAGAAAGTGTAATTTGGATGTAGAGAAAAAGCTTCTCTGGTCTGTACAGTCGTATCAGGTTTTTATTCTGTGCACTATTTACACCTACGATAAAAGACGAGCACAACTACAGGAGTAACAGACGCTAACAACTGGGCTAAATACAAGAGATATTCACATAAGCTTCGTATGATTCATATGAACAAAAAAGCACTGACTGATCCAAACCCACCTCCGCTGCACCCGCTCCGCTCTTAAAGAAATAGTATGTAACTTTCTGGAGTCAACTGCGAGATTCCACGGCGACGGTAAATCAAAAAACAAAACAAAACCAAAAAAAAAAAAACACAATTCGTAACTCCATTTCTCCTTTATGCTGGAATATATTGGAAAATCATCGCCGTCGGAACCACATTTCCGTAGAAACAAGCAGGCTCTTATTAAAAAACGTAAATAAGAGTCAGGTTTGTGGAGAGGCAAGCCCGCTCACAGTACGGACGCATGTTTTTTATGTTTTTCAGTGAGATAAAAACAAAAACATGCTTTTATTTTAGTGTATTTCTCTGGCAAAAAGTTACATACTATGGCTTTAATGGTTTATTCAAAAAGTCATGTTTATTAAATTTTGTAATAAAAAAACACTTCGTTAAAAAAAAGTTTAGGGCATTTTTTCCTGTTTTGTCGCTGCCACCCGCTGGACGTAAACAGCTTCTACGAACTTTTATTTTTAAGATTTTAAAGATTGTAAAACATGCAACGTGGTTCTAGGGTAACTATTATAGTTAAAAAAACAACAAAAAAAACATCAAAATTAACGTCGGATATGTTTTCTATTTGTAAATAAAGTGTTTTTCATGGAGTAAGAAAGCTTTCAGAAATATTTGTGTGTAAAAGATAGAAATCCGTGCATATTTGTCTGTAGTTGAGTGTAAAATAAATGCCGTATTTTCTGCACTATAAGGCGCACTTAAAAGTCTTTAATTTCATCCAAAAACGAGTGTGTGCCTTATAATCCAGAGCGTTTTATACATGAATTTATTGGGGCGTCTTAGTACGACTTTAGTAAACTACAAAGCCGCTCCACTTGCAGCGTTACGGCTCCGTAGTCAGGAGCATCAGGAGTAAAACATACTGTGATTCCTTTTAATATCAAAATGCACCTGTCAAGAGACACGCTCACAATGGCCACTTTAAACTCAACGCTGTTCTAAAGTGAAAGTGCGAGCTGCGAAGGAGAACACACATTCACCAAGACAGAGAGACAGCGCAGAGCGACTTACGCCACAATCTGCCGACGGATCGTGGACGCCCGGGCCAAGGATCAGGATCAACTGTGGTCCGAGCTTTCACCAAGACCAGAATCATCACTGAACTGAACTCCAGGGAACAGTAACTACAGTATTTTCGACACTATTAGTCATTAAATGGTCTATTTTCAAACTTTTTTCACAAATAAACCGCGTGGGACTTTAAAGGAAACCCAACAGTGTGATGGGTGGTGGTTTTGTTTGTTTGTGTCGTTCACGGTGACTCTGGGCTTTGTTCAGTTGTGGCGTGTAGGGAGTAGTGTCTGGGACCAACGGATTGTCGGCGTGTTCGCAGTGACTCAGTTGTTCAGTCGTGTCTAGAAGCGGCACGTTGCGCTCGCTTTTTCGGTTCGTTCCTTCGTTCCGTTCCTCGCCGGCGTGGAGTGATGAGTGTGTCTGTTTTTCGCCGTGCGGTCGCTGTCTGCTCCGTGTGTGTTTGTGTGTTCTGCGGGTGGTGCGGCTTTGTAGTTTACTGAAGTCGTGTTGGGACACCTGAGTGGATTCGTGTATGGGGCGCTTTGGATTGCGGCGCGCGGCCGTTTTTTGATGCAGTTTGAGGCTTAAGAGCGCGACTAATAGTGCAGAAAATACAGTACACCGACTCGGATAATGACGAGAGGGATGTGGACGTGCTGGACGCCGGAATCACCCAACTGTTTGAACTATTATGACTTGTTGAGAATACACGAACAATTTTGCGTCTCAGACAGGATTTTTTTTTTTTTTTACACGTTACAATTGAACAAAGTTGAGAGTTATTGTGAACGTATTAAATAAAGTTTGACTGACTTATCGAACTCATGTGTTTCATTTATAGTCCGGTGCGGTTTATATGTGAAAAAAGTTCAAAAATAAACCATTCAATGATTCAATCCAGAGCCCCTATAGTGCGGAAAATACGGTAACTGACTTTTACATGATCTCCAGTGTGAACATTAAACGCCCCAAAAGTGTCCCGCGTGAGTGTTGGACGACACGACGACGTCACACAAGGCGAGCGTGCTCAGTGTTTACGGAAGTCGCCTAAACTCTGGGCTCGTCTCGCAAAATCCGGTCCAGCTGTTGGTAAAATGTTCAGGTTACACGTCCACGGTTTGAGTCTTTAAGAAAATAGACCATTCAATGACAGTGCGCCTTATAGTGCAGAAAATACGGTATTCGTAAACTCCCAAATGAGTTCAGTCGTACATAAAATGGCTTGTGTTTATTTTATGCGGTGTAAAAGTCCGACATCTCGATCGATGTTTCTTCTGCTCAGTAAATAATGACATATGTTTGTGAATTCGTATTCGTACTGAAGAAAGCGAAATCGTGAATTTTCATTTCGTGGTTGTAATTCTTGACATTTTAACTTTTCAATTCGTATTCTGGTGGATAAAATACACACATAAACACATTAATGTAAGACTTGACTCAAGACTGGATTTGAGAGTTTACGAATATTTCTTTTACGCTCAACTACAGACAGATATGCACGGATTTCTATCGTACGCACGCGGATATTTCTGAAAGCTTTCGTACGCCGTAGCTTTTTCCATTCGAGCTCGAGCTACTTCCGCCTTCACCTGTTCTGAACTTCATGTGTCTTGGCGTGTTTCTTAAGGTGACAGTTATCGATAAAGCCTTTCTTGCACACTGAACAGCTGAACGGCTTCTCCCCCGTGTGCGTCCTCATGTGAACGATGAAAGGACTCTTCTGCGAAAACGCCTTGTCGCAGAACGGGCAGCTGAACGGTTTCTCACCCTTGTGCACCGCGGTGATGTGCCGGTAAATGTTACGCTGGTACCTGAATCTGACGCCGCAATCTGGACAGCTGAAAGGTTTCTCGCCCGTGTGGATCCTCATGTGCGCCTGTAAGTGGCACTTCTGACTAAACCCTCTGTTGCAAGCGGGACAAATGAAAGGCTTGTCGTCTTCGTGTATGATCATGTGTTTTCTGTAATTCGCCTTGTTTCTGAACGCTTTGTCGCACACTTGACATTTGAAGGGCCTCTGTCCACAGTGGGCGAGCCAGTGCTTTTTGAAATGCCCCTCGGTTTGAAAAGTCTTCCCGCAAACCGAACACTTCGGCTGCTTCCCCTTCTTCTTCCCGCCATTCGCGACACTATCACAATTCCTTTCGCTCGCCGTGTTTTTATCCAACAGCACATTGGCGTTCCGAGCAGGTCTGCCCCGTTTAGTGTCCTTTTTCAGTCCGGGACTTTTGGGAGGCTTCTTGGCTTTGTCGGCCGGATGCCAGTCCTCGGAGTCGTCGGTCTCGTAGTTCTGCTCGTTATTGTCCGGCGGGAGGTTCAAACTGCAGCCGGGCTCCTCCTCCACGGCGCACTGCTCCTCCGTGGGGCACTCCGTCTCGTCGTCGGCCGGCTCCGGGATGAGGATTCCGATGTTGGCTTCGGATTTGACGGAATACGCGGCGGAGAATTCGAAGGAGTGGTCTTCCTCTTGCTTGACCTGCACGGTTTGCTGGTCCTCCTCCATCTGCTCGTCGGGGCTGTGCTGGACTTCGGGATGCAGGATGAGAGTGGGGGCATCTGGAGGAAACAGGGACAAAAGAAATTAGATCTGCAGTCGACTAAAGTTGTCTGGAATGTTTCACAGTGCGGCATTAAACCTCTGTCCAATCCTCAACTGATTATGTTTGTGTCAAGAGCGGGATTTAAACCGCCAACCTTCGGATCGGTGGGCAAACGCTCTACCAACTGAGCTACTGGTATTAAACCTTTCTATCTCCGTGGAGACCAAACCAGACCGAGTTACAGGTCAGATCTGCGGAGAGGCGACGCCGCTCACAGTCAGGATGCCTGTTTTTTTAGGGATTTTTGAGCGATAAAACCACCTGTAATTGAACAAATGTGAAGTAGAGCCGTTTAAAGTCACACTGTGGAACATTCCAGGCAGAGCAATGACATATTCATAGAAAAAAGCAGGTGATGAATAGATTGATTCATATCTCGATATTTCAATATTTTTGAAAGCATTTGGATGACGACTTCATCAGGTCAAATTAGGGTCAGGAGCCCCCAGGAAACTTCAAAATGCTCTAAAACGCCCAAAATGGAGTCGTTTGTTTGTGCTGCAAAAAATTTTGTTTGTGCAGTTATGGTTCTTAAGATATTAACAGTTTTATTTTCGGCCGATGACGTCTAGGTCAGGAATCAGAATACAATAGAAGGTTCGCAAAAAACCCCGGTGTGATACATTCTGTGTCGTCAACGATTCCCGAGATCGAGGATTTAAAGCTGGAACAAAGAGAATGTTTGGTGAATTTTATCAAGGGGAAAGACGTTATTGTCCGTCTTCCTACAGGATTTGAGAAAAGCTTAATATACCAGTTAGCCCCGTTAGCGGCGCATTACATACGTCACGACCAAACAGCAGCGATTGGTTAAATGATAAAAAGCACCCGCCTACTGTCGAGCGAACGAATCCTAACGCTGCGAGGTCAGACGGTTTTTACGAAGTGAAACGAAGTAAAACTGGCTGATGAATCAGGCTAGATGACGTCATCCAGCCCCTCAAAATAGCAGAAAATTACATGAAACATTTGCATTTTGTTTGTGTTGTTTTGTGCTGTGACTGTTTATTTGTGAGAGTATATTTCTAAAATTATGAATTATTATTTTTGCGGAAATTATGACGTCATTTCTGCTCAGCTGACGGTAGCAAAAACGACAAATGAACTGAGGCTGTGGAAAAGTCTGTATTATTATAGAAAATACGAATCTAAAGCAATTTATTAAAGACCGAAACAGACTTTTCCACAGCCTCAGATCGTTTCTCACAATACGATATGTGTCTCTGTACAGTGAGCTTTCGATTCGATACGATATATTTCTAACAGTTTCAATACGGTTCACTAAAAAAAATAATGGCAAAAATCATGTCTGTGATACTAAAAGTCTTTGTTAAACCACTTCTGGAGCAAAGTTCATATGAAACACAAACATTTTAATCATCAAAACAGTGAATATGTCGTTTGAGCTCAGTTTGTGCTGCAAAAGGTTTTGTTTGTTCTATTTTAGTTTTTGAAATATTAACGATTCCTTCATAGGTGAAATTAGGGTCAGCAGCCCCGAGGAAACTTCAAAATGCTCTAAAATAGCTCAAAATTGAGTCGTTCGTTTGTGCTTCGTTTGTGCTGCAAAAAGTTTTGTTTGTGCAGTTACGATTTTTAAGACATTAGCAGTTTTATTTTCGGCCGATAGCGTCGTCCAGCCCCTCAAAACGTTACACAGCCTTAAAACAGGAAAATGATATGGAACGTTTGAATTTTCATTTGTGTGTTTGGCTGTGATACTAAAAGTCTTTGTTAAACCACTTCTTGTGCAAAGTTCTTACAAAAAACGCCCATTTTAAATCAAAACAGTGAAAATGTAAAATGTGTTGCATAAACGAGTTTCCTTCCTCTAAACAAGCTCCAGAACTTTAGCTGTAACTAAATAATTCAGTAAAATAAACCAAAAAATCCCCCTTGGTGATATATCGATACAGCAGCCCACAATATCGATACTGTATCATCACATTAAACGATACGATATTGATATTTTGATGTTTCTTCACACCTCTACAAAGCAAAAAGTGGAGTGATGAAATTGACTCTGACAGAATCAATTTTAACATGTTCTCAGGGTTTATATGAGTCCAATCTGTTCTAGAGTTAATTTACACTTAACACTTTATAGAGTTATCCTGATTTATCTAAACAACACACAGAAGTGTTTTATTTTTATACTTTATTTTAGTTAATTTAAGATGAAATTATGAAGAAAAATGGGTCAAATTGTTTTTTCTCGTGAGAGTTTGAAGTGGTGGGTGAGGCTGGTATCATTAAGAAGTTGCCGATACGATACAGACCTCGATACAGTGCACTTTTGATTTAATATGATAAATTTCAAATCAATTCGATACGGTTCAGTAAAAAAATAAAGTCTAAATCATGTCTGTGATACTTAAAGCCTTTATTAAACCACTTCTTGTGCAAAGTTCTTATGAAAAATGCTCATTTTAATCAAAACTGTGAAAATGTCAAAAGTATTGCATAAACGAGTTTCCTTCCTCTACAAAAAGCAACAAAACTGTAGCTGTAACAAAATAATTGAGTAAAATAAACCAAAAAATGCTCTTGGTGATATATCGATACAGCAGCCCATGATATCGATACTGTATCATCACATTAAATAATATGATATATTGATATTTTGATATTTTCGTTAACACTGGACCACAGTTCCTGTTTAATCTGAAATCAAGAGTTACATTAACGTTTTGAGAGTAAACGGATAACACTTTGTAGAGTTATCCTGATTTAACTCAACAACTTATTAATTTAAGATGAAATTATGAACAAAACTGATTCAAACTGGTCTTTTTTTGGGATTTGGAAGTGGTGGGTGGGGCTGGGTTGTCGATATAACACTTATCTTGATACAGTGCAGCACTTTTGATTTGATATGATAAATTTCAAATCGATTTGATACGATTAAAAAAATAAATAAAGGCTAAATCATGTCTGTGATACTAAAAGTCTTTGTTAAACCACTTCTTCTGCAAAGTTCATATGAAAAACACCCGTTTTAATAATCAAAACAGTAAGAATGTCAAATGTGTCGCATAAACGAGTTTACTTTCTCTAAACAAACAACAAAACTGTAGCTCTATCACAAAATAATTTAGTGAAATACACCAAAAAATCCCCCTTGGTGATACATCAATACAGCAGCCCACGATATCGATACTGTATCATCACATTAAACAATACGATATATCGATATTTTGATATTTTTGCACACCTCTATACAGCAAAAAGTGGAGTGTTAAAATTGCCTCTGACAGAATCAATTTTAAGATTTTCTCAGGGTTTATCTGAGTCCAATCTGTTCTAGAGTTAATTTAACATTTTTGGAAATGTTAATTAACCAACACTGGACCAAAGTTCCTGTTTAACTCAAAATCAAGAGTTATATTAATGTTTTGAGAGTAAATGGATAACACTTTGTGGAGTTATCCTGATTTTGCTAAACAACACACAGGTGTTTTTTTATTTTTACACTTTATTTTAGTTAATTTAAGATGAAATTCTGAACAAAACTGGTTCAAATTGTTTTTTTCTCGCAGGAGTTTGAAGTGGTAGATAGGGCTGGGCTGTCGATATGATACACATCGATACAGTGCACCTTTGATTTGATACAATAAATTTTATTTGATCTTATTTTGATTTGATACGGTTCAGTAAAAAATAAAGGCTAAATCATGTCTGTGATACTAAAAGCCTTTGTTAAACCACTTCTTGTGCAAAGAGAAAAGGAAAAACACCCATTTTAAATCTTCAAAGCAATGAAAATGTGAAATGTGTCACATAAACGAGTTTCCTTCCTCTAAACGAACAACAAAACTGTAGCTTTAACAAAATTATTCAGTAAAATAAAGCAAAAAATACTCTTGGTGATATATTGATACAGCAGCTCACAATATCGATACTGTATCATCACATTAAACCATACGATATATCGATATTTCAATATTTTTGCACATCTCTAGTGGTGGGTGGGAGGAGCCAAATTAACACTAGTGGAAGCTGAATTAACCTCAGTCAAATCAATTCAAATAAGCCAAACTCAAACCCAAAATTTAACTTTCAAATAATTAAAATTGCAACTTCTTGTGTTTAAAAACTACTCCCTGAAATTTTAACCCTCCAGTTTTTGCTCTGTAGTTGGACTGTGGTCTATGTTTTTTGAAGTGCTGCAAAATGACAGAATAAAGTCCTATTATTATTGTACCTTCATCGTAACTCTTTCACATTACATCATTGGATCTTTTTGGCTCGTGGGGGTTAATTAATGGGCGCAGTCTCTCGTTAATCTGCAGATGTTGTGGTATTGTTAGAGAAACACAGAGGCAAAACGAACCTGGTCACTCACGGAAACGATCTGGGAAAACATCTGTGATTTTTAGTTTTAGATTTTTTTTTTTTTTTTTAATAAATACGGGCACGTCGATAGTGAGTGATGCTGTAGCCCACGAACGCAAACGGAACATTTAACTGCAGTTTTGGCCCGTTTAGCGCGGTAGTTTTGCCCGATAATGCAAATTAATCACACAATCAAGCCGGTTTGTGGACAATGACATTGAGTATTTTAATAATTTAATAACGCGGGGCTAATCATTTGGCATCATCCCGTGTATAAGCCGCAGCAAATCCGCCGTAAACTCATATTTGACACGTTTAACTGCAAATACGGCGTGTTTAAATGATCACGGGGAGATCGGCGCGTCCGTGGGCCTGTTTTTACCCGCACATTGTCTCGCAGGGTCCCGTTAAACAGCGCCTACCTTCTTTGTGTAGCTCCATCCGCGGCTGCAGATGTTTGGAGCGCAAAACCTCCTCCTCGTATTCCGCAAACGTGCGTTCAAACAGCGCGAAGATCTCGTCCGCGGCCAGCACCAGCCGCTCCATCACCAGATCCCGCAGCGCCTGGGCTTTCGACATGTTGGATGGCACGGGTTCGCACGGGTTTGCTCCGGAGCCTGCGGACTTAGCTCATTCATTAGCCACGCCGATGCTACATCAGAGACACCGCACCGGAAGCGCAGTCCAGCCCCGATTTAAAGCAGCAGCGACGCCACGCGGCAGAGACGGGGAAGCGCAAGTGTGTGTTTTGTGTGTCAATTAAAGTGTAGCGGGTTGGTACCACGGGGCGGCGCTGTTGGGCCACAGCCACACAGAATTGAAGGGGAAGTTGGCCGTGTGCCCGGGAGGTGTCAGTGTCCGTGGGCGGCCAGGTGGACCGCTGGACCCACGTGTCTGTGCGTTTGGCTGAAGATACTCGTGGTTTTTTTAATGGTTTGTGTGTGAGTGTGAATGAAACTGTATTTTAAAAATGAATTGTCGTGTGTTTGGGCGGCCACGCTGTTTTTAAAAGAAACTTAAACGGTGCTACGGGGAAGCTGTGTGTGGATTTACGACACAGGTAGCAACATTTTAAATTGTTTTTAAATCATTAAAGGTTATCGAGTTTGTCAGGTTTTTCTAATTTGGGTTTTTTTGTTTTTTACAGTTAGCTATTGTCCCTGCTGTCCTGTAGTTGTTTGTGTTTTTTCCCGGTCACTTCCCTTTTCTTGAGCTTGTCCATTTATATTAAATAAATAACCTAAACTGCATCCCCGGCTCCGGACCTTTATTACCACGGCTATAACAAAAGCCACGCTGTGTAATTTTACTCCACATTTATGGGGTTAATTTTGTGTCATTAATATTCACAAATGCACAGAGAGTGATCTACAAACAAAAGTCATTGGTTTGTTCATGTGTTTTGATTTTGATTGATGTGTTTTGTATTTTATTTATTTTATTTTATTGTGCGTCTATGGGTTTACATTATGATTTGTATAGAAAATGTTTTTCTTAAAGCATAAAAAAGAAAAAGTACTACCATTTAATGTTGAAAATCACATCCTAAAGAAAGAGAAAGATCAGAATCTGTATTGAGAATCAAGTCTATTCCTTGGTATCTAAATCAGGTTTTAAAGTTTATATATAAACAGTGTTGGGGAGTAACAGATTACATGTACCGGAGTTACGTAATCAGAGTACAAATGATGAGTAACTGTATTCAGTTAGTTACTGTTTCAGTGAGTGGTAATTAGATTACAGTTACTTTGTTGAAATAAATGGATTACATGGTGGTATTTTTCTGTTTTCACATTTTGGGCTAAATCCCCCTTTTTATTCATTTATTTTTTTTCCCAGTAATTCCACTCATTGCTGGAAAGTAAACTAGATCTAAACCAGGTCTAAACCAGGACTAAAACCAGGACAAAAAACAGGTCTAAACTAGATCTAAACTAGAGCTAAACCAGGACTAAACCAGGACTAAGACCAGGTCTAAACTAGTTCTAAACTAGATCTAAACCAGGTCTAAAACAGGTCTAAAGTAGATCTAAACCAGGTCTAAACAAGGACTAATCCAGGACCAAAACCAGGTCTAAACCAGGTCTAAACCAGGACTAAAACCAGGACAAAAAACAGGTCTAAACTAGATCTAAACTAGATCTAAACCAGGTCTAAACCAGGACTAAACCAGGACTAAACCAGGACTAAAACCAGGTCTAAACTAGATCTAAACCAGGTCTAAAACCATCCTAATCTTTGCTACTCTACAGCAAATCAAGTAATCCAAAGTAATCAGATTACGTTACTCACTTTAAGTAATTTAATGGATTACGTTACAAACTACATTTTGGGGTATGTAATCTGTAATCTGTAGGGGATTACATTTTAAAAGTCACCTTCCCAACACTGTTTATAAATATATAGTATTGTAATAACACTGATGTAGAGTAAAATTACAATACTAATATATATTTTATTTGTAATTTTAACTTAATTTATAACATTTTTATTGTATTTGTAAAACTGAAAATTCTATTTGTAAAATGTGATTCGCATTTGTGGATCACCAGTTACAAGAATTCACAGATTTCCTCTATGACGTATTTTTGAGACATTCTTTTTGAGAAATCCACAAACGCAGACAGACGCACAAACAGCCGATTCACTGAAACTCAAATGAAAAAAGATTTCTTTACAAATACACATTTATCTGTAAAAAACAAAATAATACAATAAACTATAAGTGTCACTTTTTTCATGGTTTGGGTGTTTCCTGTGATTTATATATTAAAAAGTTGTGTGGAGAGTGTGTGAGTATCTGAGGCTCCTGTTCCTCCTGTTCCACTGTCACTTGGATCTACTGCACATGTCTTTTGCAGAAAGAGCCTCTGTCCTGCTGCAAGTCGTGAAATCTGCAGCTGAAAACGGAAATTGAGCAGCAGAAAGAAAGTTTGGAGTGAGAGAGAAACTTGTGACACCGGGAGGATGAACCATGAAACTTTCCTGAAGTCACTGGATGGATGGACAAAGTCTGGACTTCAGTGACGCCGAAACCATCCTGTCGAGATTCAGAAAGACCCGAATAATTCTAACTGGAACTGACGCTGAGTCTGACGACAGCGACACAGAAGAGTTTGCGTCGCTCTGTTTACCTCCGGAGGTCGAGGTCGAGTTGTTCAGAAGTGACACCGAGGATGAAGAATTGAATGGATTTAGTGATTTGGAGTGAGATGGAGAGTTTGGTTAAACTTGTTCTGTTCTGTTGTTTATGTTATAATTTATCTGAAGAACTGTGAAATATGCAGTGTTGGGAAGTTTACTTTTAAAATGTAATCCCCTACAGATTACAGATTACACACCCCGAAATGTAGTTTGTAACGCAATCCATTAATTTAGTTAAAATGAGTAATGTAATCTGAATACTTTGGATTACTTGATATTGTCATGTTTTTAAAACGACATGAATGTAGCAACCACATCCTGAAAATTCATGTTTGTTCTGGTTTTAGTCCTGGATTAGTCCAGGTTTTAGTCCTGGTATTACTCCTGGTTTAGACCTGGTTTTAGTCCTGGTTTTAGTCCTGGTTTTAGTCCTGGTTTTAGTCCTGGTTTAGTCCAGGGTTTAGTCCTGGTATTACTCCTGGTTTAGACCTGGTTTTAGTCCTGGTTTAGTCCAGGTTTTAGTCCTGGTTTAGTCCTGGTTTAGTCCAGGGTTTAGTCCAGGGTTTAGTCCTGGTATTACTCCTGGTTTAGACCTGGTTTTAGTCCTGGTTTAGTCCAGGTTTTAGTCCTGGTTTTAGTCCTGGCTTTCGTCCTGGTTTAGTCCAGGTTTTAGTCCTGGTTTAGTCCTGGTTTTAGTCCTGGTATTAGTCCTGGTTTTAGTCCTGGTTTTCGTCCTGGTTTTAGTCCTGGTTTTAGTCCTGGTTTAGACCTGGTTTAGACCTGGTTTTAGTCCTGGTTTAGACCTGGTTTTAGTCCTGGTTTTCGTCCTGGTTTTAGTCCTGGTTTAGTCCTGGTTTTAGTCCTGGTATTAGTCCTGGTTTAGACCTGGTTTAGGCCTGGTTTTAGTCCTGGTTTAGTCCTGGTTTTAGTCCTGGTATTACTCCTGGTTTTAGTCCTGGTTTAGTCCTGGTTTTCTCCTGGTTTAGTCCTGGTTTAGTCCTGGTTTTAGTCCTGGTATTAGTCCTGGTATTAGTCCTGGTATTAGTCCTGGTTTTAGTCCTGGTTTTAGTCCTGGTTTTAGTCCTGGTTTTAGTCCTGGTTTAGACCTGGTTTTAGTCCTGGTTTAGCCCAAAATGTGAAAACAGGAACATACCGCCATGTAATCCATTTATTTCAACAAAGTAACTGTAATCCAATTACCACTCACTGAAACAGTAACTGTAACTGAATACAGTTACTCATCATTTGTACTCTGATTACATTACTCCGGTACATGTAATCTGTTACTCCCCAACACTGGAAATATGTGACGTTAACAGTCTGTTCTTCTCTCTTCTATTGTTTTTACCACAACTTCACTTTACACAGGAAATGTCGGCTCCTGCTCTCATTTTATAAAAAAAAGGCCCCCCCAAAAGTGCAACTTACATATTTTTCTTCTTCATTATGCATTTTTGGGTTGGTGCGATTTATAATCTGAAAAATACGGTAATAGAAAGAATCAAAAACATTGTCTAAATCATTTTGTATTTAAAGTTTTATTATGGATTATTGCAGACAAACGTGTTTCTGATATGAAACTAAACATGATTTCTGGTCCTCCACATGAACTTGAATTATAAACAGAACTGAAATGAACAAACGCTACGTGGAATTAAATTATAATTTCATCAACAACATATTAACACGAAGCAAAAAGCACTTAAGTGTCATTTGGGTAACAGAGAAATCCAAAGACATGTATGAAAAAATATATTAATTTAACTTTATAAATGAGTGGATCAGTGTACGGGGCAGCTCGGTTTAAAGGATCATATCACACTCCTCCCTGTTTTAATGCGGTTTCCTCGTCACAAACACACCTGGAGTTGTGTTTTGTTTCATTTACACACGTTTAACACAACGAAAACACTCTGTTCCACCTGGTGATGTCATGGGGTGCTACAGGAAGTGCTCCACGGTGTTTTTTTTTTTTTTTTTATAAATTAAAACAAACAAAACTCAATGCACAATTCATCAACTCCAGAGCTCCATATTTTCCAAAACACAACAGTTTATATAAGGTTTCTACGGTGTTGAACTGTTTAAAGTCATTGCGCCGAATATTTTACAAACCAAAGTCTCTACCAGAAATTTCTTTCTTCCTCGTTCTTCTTCTTCTTATTTTTTATATATATATATTTTTTGTCCCCCCGTTTATGGTTGTACAATCTAATAATAATGTTAACGAAGGCAAAAAAGTTTATCGTTTATGATCGCGCGAAACAAACAACGATAAGAATGAAAGAATGTAAGGATTTTTTTTTTTTTCGTTTACGGTCGCTGGTGTTTTTAAATTCAGCACCTTCACTAAAATCAGTCAGCGTTTCAGTTTGACGCAGCTAAAATCAGCTCAAAGGTTTTCAATCTGCGCTCTTCTCTCGCATTCAATGTCTCTTTCTCTTTTTTATTTTATTTTATGATGATGATTTATGTTTCGGTTTGTTTGTATCGTGATTTTAATGTATTTCTAAAGACGAACAGTTCACACGCGAAGTCGGTGTGGACGTGTGTCTAGGCCGTCCTGCGTTTTCTGGCGTTGTCTTGAGCGTTCAGGCGTCAACGCTCTGGATGCGCTGACGCCTGAAGTTGAAGATGCTGAACTTTTGACGACGGACGCGCCACATCAACCAATCAGGAACGACTATCCACAGACGTAGAGACGCTGAGACGTTATTATCCGGAAGAAGAAGAAGAAAGAGAAAGACCAGAGAGAACAAACACCAGAACAAGAAATCTACGGCATGTTATTAGCGGAAAGTAAGTATATATACACGCCGCAACCGCCAAGCTCCTTGCAAAGACTACACCAAGACTGAACCAGGACTGAACCAGGACTGAACCAGGACTGAACTTAAACTAGACCAGGACTGAACCAGTGTCATTAGCGGAGTATAAATATATACACATCGCCGCCAATCGCCGCAGGTGTGTTTTATGTTACAGTCGTCCCTCACTATATCACTGTTCACCTTTTGTGGTCTCGCCGTTTTGCTGATTTTTTATTTTGTGCAATTTTGCATGCTTTGGTTTACAGCGTATAAACGTTAGGGTGCATCATTTGCCCAACTTTTTGAAAACATTTTGAAAATCAATCTGAACCTAGTATCCGTTGGAACTTAAGAGTCTTGGTGGACCTAGATTTTGTTCAGTTGAGCAAATATTCCACAGATTTTCTTTTAATTGATATCATCACATTTTAAAATTGGGTGCAAGCTGAATTTCTAACATTGGGGCAAACAATGCAGCCTAATGAATGCGCATTGTGTTCCTCCCGCTGCGTCCTGATTGGCTGAGGGACCACTGTCAATCTCCCCCGTGCCGTGTCTCCTGTACAGTACGGAATGTGTTCAGTTTGACAGATTTACATAAATGTTGGATCTGTATCAGTGAGATTCTGAAGTGCTGTAAGTTTGCGAGTTTTCTCCCCACAATGTCGACAAAAAAGTTCTGCACCATTGCACAAAAAGTTGGACTTCTGGACACGCTGAAGGAAGGTCGAAGTTACGCGGCTGTAGGCGCCATTACGGAATAAACGAATCTTGGGTTCGTTACATAAAGAAGGAGGAAAATAACATAAGAACGACAGCAGCAAAAAGTTTTAAGGACGTAAAAAGGATTGTAACTGTCCTGTATGAGAAAAGCGTATAAAGTGTGTGCTGACAGGTTTTACAGCGTTAAAACAGATATAAAAATAACTTCTTGCTGGCTGTAGGGATTAGGTCGTTGTTTGCTTCTCGAGTGATTTTTTTCTGTTCTAATAGTGATTTGAGTAATGTTTTCAGGGCTCGTTTCTTTTCTTCTGTCGGGTTCTTTGTGATAATTTCGTAGGTGTCGGTGTCTGCGAGTAGTGTTTGCATTTTTTGTTCGTATGTTTTTGTGTCCAATATAACTGTTGTCCTGCCTTTATCTGCGGGTAGAATAGTGATTGTATTGAGGCCATTGAAATCAGGAAACGAGGCACGGACAGCATTAACCGTGACGACGGCGCGTTCCTCCTTTCACACACCTGGGACACCCTCCTCCAGAGACACCGGGCGACAGGAGGCGTGGTCAGTCTGAGCGACCTGCAGGTCCATCAGGCTGACCACGCCTACAGGAAGTAACAACAGCTGATATACGACACGTCACCACCAACACCGGTGACAGATCTGAAGATGCAGCAGCAGAAACATGTCAACAAGGTAAACACACTTTACTGCATTGTCTTTAAAAAGAACCCAAGAAGTTAAAGTATATAAGAAGACAAAATGAACATCTTTTGCTTAGATATAAAAATAATTGTAAAAAATAAAGCTGACTACTTCGCGGGTTATTTTGAGAACGTAACTCCCGCGATAAACGAGGGGCCGCTGTACACTAAAGTCGCTCTCGACTGGGAAAACAAGGCACTCGCCGACCACAGCGACGCCCTGGACTCGCGTCAAGTATTTTTACGCCGTTCGTCCGTACGTCGTGGGCGTCCGAACTCAAACGTAAAGGCGTCCAGGGCATTTTTTGGGGCACTTTGGATTTGTTTGTGTACGAATTGTGCTGTACAAATAAACCTGCTTTGTCTTGAATCATTTGGATCATTTCAGCTCTGGACTTGCCGATCTCGACTGAACTAAAAGGTAAAAGGAGCTGCTCATTTTAACACTACCTCTTAATGACATCACCAGGAGGAACAGAGTATTTCGAGCTTTGGAGATGTAGACAGACTAAATAAAAAATAAAGTGTTACTCAAACATGTGTGAATGAAACAAAACACAAACAAACAAAACACAACTCCAGGTCTGTTTTTGAGGACAAAACAACATTAAAACACGACTTAAATCTCACAAGAGTCACTTTGGCGTAATATAAAACCTTTAAAAAGTGCACAATAATACTTGGACGGTTGTTCTAACATGTAACAAAACTTACTCCATGATTATTCCATTTCGATGAGCCTAAAGAACATCTAGAAAATGTTAAAAAATCTCGATTTAAGGCTCTACGCACTAGAAAGAAATGAAATGCCTTTGCTATAGTCAACAACGATGGATTATTTATAAAAAGAACCTTATAAATATGATTACGGTAACGCTTTAGTTTAGGAACCACATATTCCTCGTTAGAAAAGTGATAATTAGCTCTTACTTAGCTATTAGTTAGTATTTATTAAACACTTATTAAGATTTCAGAGGATGTACAGAAACAGCGATTGTAATTTAACAGGAAGAAAACACTTAATAATAGACAAAAATGCATGAAAAGTGCTTTATAAATACTAACAACGATGTAATTAAGCACTTATTATACTTATTATTTTACTATAAACTAGTTATTAACATGTGGTCCCTAAATTAAATTGTTACCGTGATTATCTTTTCGTGACTTTAACACAGAAATAAATTAAACTTTGACGTAATTTAATCTAGAGTGTTGTCGGCATAGAGCGATATTTGATACTTTGCAGCTGAGGTCATCAACATTTGCTGGGGGTGTGACGCTAACTGAGGCACTGCTCTGTCTGAGGCTCTGTTAAGACTTTAATTCGAGCTTCGTTTTAACACAATCTGACCAGAAAAAGCTGATTTAGGCGACGTTCAGACCGCAGGGCTTAACGTTCAAGTCAGATTTTTTTGTGAAATCTGAGCCAAAGCCATCTCAAAAATACCACCCGGTTCTGATAAGACTCCTCCAACTTGGCCTGAATACAGCGATCCCCCCAAATATGAACAAACTCCCTAACGTCGTTTTCTCTCCACTGATGAGACTCTGAGCCTGACGTGTAGGTGGGATGAATGTGACCTGACCATTCAGACTGAAGTCACATGTCAAAAGATCAAACAGGTATCGGTTTTAGGAGCACATATCCAAGTGGCCTGGGTCACATTTGAAAAAAAATCGGTGTTGGTCAGTCATTAAGCAGTGTATCATTTTCTCTTTTGTTTTTCAAAATAAAACCAAAAATAAGAAAAGGAAAAAAACAACTATTTTCTTCATTATTTGTCTCCAAAACCAAAATGAAAAAACAGATAATAATTTGTTTTTTTTTTCATTTTTTGATTTTGTGTTTAAATGAAAAATGGAAAAAATGGATAATGGACTAAACCCGAACTGAACCCGGACTGAACCCGGACTAAACCAGGACTAAAACAGGACTAAAACAGAACTGATCCAGAAGTATCGGGACAGGCCTGGAGGTGTGCCCACATAGGCTGTCAGGTGATCAGGACTGACCAGGACCAGGGCCGGGACCAGGGCCGGGACCAGGGCCGGGACCAGGGCCGGGACCAGGGCCGGGACCAGGGCCGGGACCAGGGCCGGGACTGAGACCAGTTTAGTTCTGGTTCAGTCCTGTTTTATTTCTGGTTCAGTCCATTATCCATTTTTTCCATTTTTCATTTAAACACAAAATCAGAAACTGAAAAAACAAATCATTATCTGTTTTTTCATTTTGTTTTTAGAAAAAAATAATGAGTAAAATAGTTGTTTTTTTTTCCTTTTCTTATTTTTCGTTTTATATTGCAAAATGAATGGTCACAAATTGTTACACAGATTGTCATTAAAAGATCAGACACAGCGAAAAAGTCGGATTTGTAGAAAATCAAACTCCTGAACAGGACACAGGCTCCTGAAAAAGCGCCGTTTAAATCAATTTTGTACTTTTTCTTGAGTTTTCAGACCATCTTTAAACTTTTTTTTTTGGCAGTTATTGCTAATAATAAGTGCATTTGGTCTCCGTGGTAACCGCCGAACAGTGCGCCACACACGTACATGTAGAACACCCCCAGCCAGAAGTCACTGCGAAGTATCAACTAACAAAAAAGTCACATTTCTGTAGGTTTTGGAATTAGTACAATGAAAGTTTAAGGTTATACCCTGTTTTCGGAAGATTATTCAACAAGTTTAGGTTATTTTTATTTTCAGTCTGCTCTTTTTCCAAACATTTTATCGTAAATATATATTTTTTTAAATTATGTATTTCATATTTTAAATTTGCATATCTCCAGATTAGTGGAGCTCAACATTGACTCCCTAGTAAATTGAGCTCCCTAGTTCCGATAAATTTCCCATTAATTTTTCTCATAGACTTTCCGAAAAAACAAAAATAAAAAAAAACAAATAAAAACAAAACAAAACATTAAAAGTTTGAAAGTTCAGGATTCATCATCTCTGTGGAACCAATGACCAAACGATCTTTAACCTTATTTAAAGTCTATTTCTGAAACTTAATTAAACAAATTTAGCCAAATCTTGTGTTTTAAAAGCGTTTTTTTGGACTTTAAACAACCAATAAACAGTGTTGGGGAGTAACAGATTACATGTACCGGAGTTACGTAATCAGAGTACAAATGATGAGTAACTGTATTCAGTTACAGTTACTGTTTCAGTGAGTGGTAATTGGATTACAGTTACTTTGTTGAAATGAATGGATTACACAGAGGGATTTTCCTGTTCTCACATTTGGGGCTATATCCTGGGGCTATTTTATTATTTTTTTTTCCCTGTCGGTAATTCCACTCATTGCCAGACACTAAACCCAGGTCTAAACCCAGGTCTAAATTAGGTCTAAACGAGGACTAAACCAGGACTAAAGCAGGACTAAACCCAGGTCTAAACCAGGACTAAACCAGGACTAAACCAGGACTAAACCAGGACTAAACCAGGACTAAACTAGGACTAAACTAGGACTAAACCAGGACTAAACCAGGTCTAAAACAGGATTTAACAGGACTAAACCAAGACTAGTCAAGTAATGGAAAGTATTCAGATTACATTACTCACTTTAAGTAATTTAATGGATTACGTTACAAACTACATTTTGGTGTATGTAATCTGTAATCTGTAGGGGATTACATTTTAAAAGTAAACTTCCCAACACTGCCAATAAATTAGTTAGGACGTATCTGATTTGCCTCTGAAATGTTTTGGAACTCTTAATATTTGAATTTTTGGAAAAGTCTGTAGGAAAAATGAACAGAAAATGTACTTCTGGAACTGTGGGCGCGACCGTTTCGAAACGCCAGCTGCATTATTTTGAAATCTGAACAATAACGAACATTTTAACAGCTTCAGTTTTAAAGCCGCGCTGCGTAACTTTCGTAGTTGGTGGCCCGTTTCCACGGAGAAGTCGCTGCTTTGCCTTCGGTGTTCCACAGTGTGTCATTACTTAAACAGTTATCCGTCTCCGTGGAGCAACAGGTCAGATCTGCGGAGAGGCGAGTCCGCTCACAGTAAGAATGTGCATTTTTGAGCAGTAAAAACACCTGTAATTGAATAAATGCTAGATAAAAGATGTTTAATACCCCACTGTGGAACATTTCAGGCAACGCAAAACCATCTCCACAGAGACAAGCGCAAGGCAGACGGGAAAAGTTACACAGTGGACTCTGAAGTGTGTAAATTGAAAGTTTCAAATACTACAATATGACTTAGATTAAGGTGCTCTTTAGTCTCTATAGTATAAATTGTCTTCTGCGTTTGACCCATTAGAGTCTCTGGGTTACACCTAGAGCTGTGCAATTAATCAAATTCTGGTCGGGATTGAGTTATTTCTAATGGTCAGTATTCAGTTTGGGTTTGGAGCGAACGCAAGACTGAAGCAGTTAGAAATTCTGATGCATTTTTAGCCCTAAACTGCACATTAAAGGTTTTGTATTACGCAAAACTGACTCTGGTGAAGCTTTAAGTCGTGTTTTAATGTTGTTCCCTCCTCAAAAACAGACCTGGACTTGTGTTTTGTTTCATTCACACATGTTTGAGTAACACTTTATTATTAGTCTGTCTACATCTCCAAAGCTCAAAACGCTCTGTTCCACCTTGTGATGTCATGAATCGGTAGTTTTCGAGTTAAAAATCATTTTTACCTGTTGTTTAGTAGAGATCGGATCATTTCAGCCCTGGATTTGCCAAACGATTCTAGTGGAAGGTGTACGGAGCATGAATCTATTGAAATACCTGGACAGGGTGTTGCTGCATGTCGCTGTCTCTAGTTGGCGTAGTGGACACTCACTGGAACCACAGCGAAAAAATCCCTCCTGCCCTTTCCCCATACAGCACAATGAAATCACAACCTGCTCGTGCTCGGCTGACAGGGCACCTACAGCTTTCAAAAATGTTGGCTTTTGTGGCGATTTTCACCTATTTTTAGATCATAAACATTTTCTCAGCTGAAAATCCTTCAGTTTTTAAGTTGTTTTAAAAAGTTGTCTTAAAAAACAGCTGTTTAAGACAACTTAAAAAGTTAAAGGAGCTGAGAGGGTAATCGGAGTTTCCCTCCCCTCTGTCCAAGAACTTTTCTGGAGCCGCTGCAGAAGCAGGAACCTGAACATTGTCAAGGACCAAACTCACCCTCTACACAAAAACTTTTCAAAATGATTCTGGAGTATCAGAGGCAGAAACACCAGACTGATGAACAGCTTCCTCCCACAAGACATTAGGACGCTCAACACTTGATCTGAAATCTGTCACTACTACTTCTCCTACTGCTATTACTGCTACTACTCCTACTAGGGACGGGCATTCGATGAAATTTTCTTAATCGATCGTCGGAAGAATTAACGATTGATTATCGATTAATCATTAACGTTTTTATATTAAAATGATCATCATTATTATTACTATCTGCACTAATCTGCATAAATAAATTCAACTTTACGACATATAAACCGTAACGACTCTAGAGCCACATCAGCTGTTTGACATTATAATGTGTTTAATTCAGTTTTGTTCAAATCTCACAGAAACAAAACTTAAAACCACATCGCTAATTTACATAAACTAAGTGAAGATAAAACTCCAGCTCTTGTGTCGCTGATGTGGTTCAACTTGTGTTGGATTAAAAGACATGACTCAGGTGAATACAGGTCAGTGTGACCAGATTTGTGTTTGTCAAAACCAGGACAGCGTACGGGGGGAGGGGGGCGGGGCCTCGTCATCCACTTTGAGCGACTCTCACCTGGAAAAACTTTTTCCCACTGGACACAGAAACATATGTGCTGCTTTATCCACTGTGCACATGGACTCACACTTGTCCCAACGCAACGGAAAGTGTGGAATTTCTTGTACAAGTCATTGTTAAATCCACATTTGTGCTTCGGTTTGTTACAGACTGACCCACTGTTTGTGTCTCGCTCCTTCTGATGCACAGACACATGTACACACCTGTTTGGTCACGACACACAAACATACATTCAGTTTGTCGATTAAAATTAACGTAATCAATGAAATTCTTAATGATCAATTATCGATTAATCGATTAATCATGCCCATCCCTAACTCCTACTACTACTCCTCCTCCTGCCCCTTACGTACATCATGTACATTATATGTATATTACTGTTTTAGGTTAGTTTTTAGTATTTATTTCACTCAGTCACTTTTACTGGCACTGGCACTAACCGGATCTGTCTCAGGGAGGGTAAATGGATGTGTTGGGGCAGGGGGAGGGTGGTGAGTGTGTTGAAATTATGTTCTTTTATTTATTTTTTTAAGTTATGTTCTTTTATTGATTGAAACGATTATAAAGCGTTTTTTAAGACAACTGAAGGGTTTTGAGCTGAGAAAAATTTTATGATCTAAAAATAGGTAAAAATCGCCACAAAATCCGACATTTTTGAAAGCTGTAGGTGATCTGTCAGACGAACACAAGCAGCTTGTGATTACATTGCCTCTAAGAGAAAAATCTCGTCTCGGCCCATGGGATTTTTTCTGCTGAAGTTCCAGTGAATCCAGTTATTTTAATAGATCCATGATTCATACCTAGAGAAACGTAAATTCATCTTGCCTGCACTACAGTTGTATGCACAGACTTATAACAATAAAAACTGATTTGATTTGATTAATCGTTCACTCGGGGTCTGCTTTAGCTCTTCTCGCTCCGATTGGTCACATGACACACGAGACCACGCTCCTCGCACACAAAAGCACTACTGCACATGTTCTACGGGCAGGGAGCCACCGGGTGTACCTCGCCCCTGAAGGTGAATCTGGAGACGCGAACCACTGAGCTCGGCACATTGGCTTGAATCAGCGGCCCTGTTGAGAGCTCAGGATTGATACGGAGTTAAAGAACACAGTGGAGCACTTCCTGTATTACCACATGACATCACAAGGCGGAACAGAGTGTTTTCTTTTTGAGAGAAGAACTCAGAACATGTGTGAACGAAACAAAACACAGCTCCAGGTCGGTTTGTGACGAGGAAACGGCATTAGACCAGATCAGAAAACAGCGTAATACTGCCCCTTTAACTTGCATATCTCTGTGCAGAACAAGAGCTCGCTGGTATGAGTAAAGACATGTGTAACAACATTTTATGATTATTTCGATGTTTTTAACACCACACACCCTTTTCCGGTTAATTTCTTTCACTGCCATTAAAAACACGGCACCTTAAAAGTCCAGGAAACATTTACAAATCCGACACGCTTTCGTCTCCCGTCTCGAACGCGAGTTCCTCCGGCGCGTCCTTGGACCCCGTTTTCTTGTGCACCTTCATGTGGGTTCTTAGCGTGCCCTTAGCTCCGAAACTGCGGGTGCAAACGTGACAGGTGAAGGGCTTTTCTCCCGAGTGAGTCCTCATGTGCGTCATGAAATCGTGTTTCTGAGCGAAGGCCTTGTCGCACATCGGGCACGGGTACCTTTTCTCCGCTTTGTGGATGACCGAAATGTGCCGGATCAAATTGTGCTTGTGTTTGAACTTGCCGCCGCACTCCGGACAGTCAAAGTTCTTCTCGTCGGTGTGGGAAAGCATGTGTCTCTTCAGGTCGCGCGACTGGGTGAAGCCTTTGTCGCAAATGGAACAGCTCAGCGGCTTCTCCTCCGTGTGCATGTTCAAGTGAGCTTTGTAACTGGACTTATACCTGAAGGCCTTGTCGCAGACGGGGCACTCGAAAGGCTTCAGTCCATAGTGGATCAGCATGTGTCTCTGTAAATGCGCTTCGCACTGGAAAAACTTCCCGCAGTCGGCGCATTTGTGTTTTGTGGTTTTCACAACTTCTCCGTCCGGGCTGGGCTGCGTTTTTTTGCGTTTCGAAGCCGGTTTCTGCGCGTCCGTCGGTGCTCCCGAGGCGTTGTTGGGCGGCGGGGCGGTCGGGGCTGGGGCGAGGCTGGGGGCGGTGTTGTTTTGAGGGGCAGGTTTGGGGGCGGTTGCGGGGGCTGGTTGGGCGTTGGGTGTGTTGTTTTTCGGGGCAGGCGTCTCAGCGCTGCAGCTCGGTTTCTCCTTCTCTCGGTTTAGTTCTCTGTGCGGTTCGTTCGCTCTGGAGTTCCTGTTTTCTTTGAGCGAACAGTTGTGGAAAACAAAAGAGCCAATGTCTCGCTTGATCACAAAGGGCGGGACACCTGCAAAGCACATGTTCACAAAAATATAAGTTAGTAACAGACACAGACATACTTGTAACAATATTTACAAAAAGTACAAGTATCAAGATTAGGGATGAGCATTCGATTAAATTTTCTTAATCGATCGTCGGGAGAATTAACGATCAATTATCGATTAACCATTAACGTTTTTATTTTAAAATTATCATCATTATTATTACTATCTGCACTAATCTGCATAAATAAATTCAACTTGACGACATATAAACCGTAACGACTCTAAAGCCACATCAGCCCGTTTGACATTATAATGTGTTTAATTCAGTTTTGTTCAAATCTCACAGAAACAAAACTTAAAACCACATCACTCATTTACATAAACTAAGTGAAGAAAAAAATCAGCTCTTGTGTCGCTGATGTGGTTCAACTTGTGTTGGATTAAAAGACATGACTCAGGTGAATACAGGTCAGTGTGACCAGATTTGTGTTTGTCAAAACCAGGACAGCGTACGGGGGGAGGGGGGCGGGGCCTCGTCATCCACATTGAGCGACTCTCACCTGGCAAAGCTTTTTCATGTTTTTTTGGTTTCCTGGTGCTTTGAGGTCCCTGACACCTCTACTGGACACTGAAATATGTGTCTGCTTTCCACACAGTGCACATTTACTCACACTTGTCTCGACCGGGACGGAAAGCGGGGAATTTCTTGTACCGTATTTTCCGCACTATTAGTCGCTCTGGATTATAAGGCGCAGTGTCATTAAATGGTCTATTTTTGAACTTTTTTCACAAATAAACCGAGTGGGACTTTAAATGAAACACAATTGTAATTGTAAATGTATAATTTTGATGCCTAAATTTGTGCATTAATAACTGAAAAAGGTTTATATTTTATAGGCATCCATCTGTACCTCATCTAAAGCTCGTCGCAGCTCTTATATACACTCAATTTCTTTTGACTGCTAACATTAGTAGCTCTGGCATTTTCATTTTGTAAAGGCAGCTCACCAGAGGAAAACGGTTGGAGACCCCTGAGTTAAATAAAATATTCTTGAATAAGCAAACTTTGCATTTATTTTCTTTTCCCGTTTGTATAATTTTAAAACAAACTGTTTGTTTAATAAACACACAAATAAACAACAAGCAAAAAAGGTTTTGCATTTTGTTCCCAGACTGAACCGAAAATGAACCAAACTGTGACCTCAAAACAGAGGAACGAACTGAGCTGTGATTTTTGTACCGTTACACCCCTAGTTTACTGTGATGATACAGTATCGATATATCACCAGAAAAATTTTTTGGTTTATTTTATTCAAGTATTTTGTTACAGCTACAGTTTTTTTGCTTGTTCAGGGGAATTTATTTACGCGACATTTTTACTGTTTTGTTGATTAAAATGTTTGTGTTTCATATGAATTTTGCACAAGAAGTGGTTTAATAAAGATTTTTTGTATCACAGACATGATTTAGACTTTATTTTTTATTGCACCGTATTGAATGGATTTTAAATATATCGTATCGAATCGAAAGTGCACTGTATCGAGATATGTATCGTGTAAGTTCTCAATGACACCAGCCCTAGTCTTTGTGCTCTTGTACTTGTTCTGAAACAGCTCAAAATCGATTCTAAAGACATTCACAAAAGGTTAATTTCTGTCCCGTCAATCAGATTTATTTTTAGTATCAATACCTGCGTAAAATGTGGACCTAGTTTCAGTATCTACAACCACATTTTCACTGCTTTTGACATCCCTAATAACAATATTACACTTTGCATTTAAAAGCTTTTCTTCATCTCTGTGTCATTCTCGCTGTTTTGTTTGGGCACTTTTTGGCTTTCCCCTGTTTTTTTTTTAATTGTTTATATTTTCTGGGAGCATTTCTACCTAGTTTTGTTTTTGGAAGTTGGTTATGTTTTTGTGTTTTCTTTTTGTTCTCATTTCCGGCAGGAGTCCTTAAATGCGCGAGCCCTGACCTGGTGGGATCAGATGTCCTGTTTTCGCTTTTCTCTTGGGTTTAGGTGGTTGGGTTTTTTTTGGTCTTTAGTTACGTGTGCTGGCACCGGCTCCTACGGCCCTGGGTAGGGTTGGCCCGGTGTCGCACCCTTTTGTTCTTTTTGGCCGGCTCATCAGGTCCACCTTTCTGTTGTTACTTTCTTGGTTTGGGCACAGGTTAAGGGTTTCTTTTTGGGTTTAAAAATATCTCCACGAAAAAAAACCCAAAAAACTCTAATCTTTCATTTCCGTTATGTTCGGCTCATCGACATGTACAACCATTAGGGATGGGCATTCGATGAAATTTTCTTAATCGATCGTCGGAAGAATTAACGATCGATTATCGATTAATCATTAACGTTTTTATATTAAAATGATCATTATTATTACTATTTGCACTAATCTGCATAAATAAATTCAACTTTACGACATATAAACATAACGACTCTAGAGCCACATCAGCTGTTTGACATTATAATGTGTTTAATTCAGTTTTGTTCAAATCTCACAGAAACAAAACTTAAAACCACATCACTAATTTACATAAACTAAGTGAAGATAAAACTCCAGCTCTTGTGTCGCTGATGTGGTTCAACTTGTGTTGGATTAAAAGACATGACTCAGGTGAATACAGGTCAGTGTGACCAGATTTGTGTTTGTCAAAACCAGGACAGCGTACGGGGGGAGGGGGGCGGGGCCTCGTCATCCACATTGAGCGACTCTCACCTGGAAAAACTTTTTCCCACTGGACACAGAAACATATGTGCTGCTTTATCCACTGTGCACATGGACTCACACTTGTCCCGAACGGAAAGCGTGGAATTTCTTGTACAAGTCATCGTTGCACATCATTCGCATTTGTGCTTCGGTTCGTTACAGACTGACCCACTGTTTGTGTCTCGCTCCTTCTGATGCAGAGACACATGTACACACCTGTTTGGTCACACTACACACAGCAACCTACATTCGGTTTGTCGATAAAAATTTACGTAATCAATGACATTCTTAACGATCAATTATCGATTAATCGACTAATCATGCCCATCCCTAACAACCATCCCTCAGTTTTCATAATTTCAACACTGACAGCCAACTCTGAGCGCACTGGGTCAAACTCCAGATGATTCCAAACAGCGCGTACGTCTGCAGTCTTCGTTTTACCACTGAGCACATTTACTTCAGTGGGTTTGATCACAGTCAGTCAGTCGAGCCCGGTGATGGAAACTACACCGGACGTTTCCTCACATCTTTCCAAACGTCTTCGTGGTTTGTGACGTAAGTGCGAGTAGAGCCTGTGACTTTCTAAAATGTGAAAGTAAACTCATCGCTATAAAAGAAGACGACGTGTTTGTTCGCAAAACTGCAACAATTTTTCCGGTAAGTCCTTCTAGCGGCAGAACTACCAGAGAAAATAAACCAGAGAGAATAAAATATCTAAATTCAAATGGGCACCAAGACCAAATATTGGAAATAGGGGTTGAAATCTGTTTTTGGTTTGACACTAAAATGGAATAATGAAATAAACTGTTTTCCCATTGTATTGTTTTTTGTTCTTATTTGAAATGTAAAAGATCGGAAAAGAATCGTGAATCGCTTTTTCTTATTTTTGAAATCGAGTTTGGAATTTTAGTATCACGACGACACCATTTCATTTGTTCCGTTTCAATCCGTGTATCATTCGTTCATTCGATTTTCAATATAAAACCAAAAATGAGAAATTGAAAAGAAAAAAAAAAAACTATTTTCTTCGTTATTTGTCTCCAAAATCAAAATGAAAAAACAGATAATGATTCATTTTTTTCAGTTTTCGATTTTGTTTTTAAATGAAAAATGGAAAAAACTTTTAAAAACTGCGATGCCGGACTGAACCAGGACTGAACCAGGACTAAAACAGGTCTGGGACCAGACCGGGACTGAGACTCGGATTGAGACCGGGAACAGGATCAGGACCGAGACCGGGACCGAGACCGGGACCGAGACCGGGACCGAGACCGGGACCGAGACCGGGACCGAGGCCGGGATCAGACCAGGACCAGACTGTGATTGAGGCTGGGACTGAGACCGGGACAGAGACTGAGACCACGACCAGACCAGGAACAGACCGGGACTGAAACCGGGACTGAGGCCGGGACCAGACTGTGATTGAGGCTAGGACTGAGACCGGGACTGAGACCACGACCAGACCAGGACCAGACCAGGACTGACACCAGGACTAAGACCGGGACTGAGACCAGGACCAGACCAGGACCAGACTGTGATTGAGGCTGGGACTGAGACTGTGACCGTGACCAGACCAGGACCAGACTGGGACTGAGACCGGGACTGAGACTGGAACCAGACCAAGACTGAAAACGGTTTAGTCCTGGTTCAGTCCGGCGTCTCAGTTTAAGTCACGTAAACGGGAAACGTCCGTTATCCGTCTTTTTTCCATTTTTCATTTAAACACAAAATTGAAAACAGAAAAAAACGAATCATTATCTGTTTTTTTCATTTGGTTTTGGAGACAAAACCGTTTTTTTTTCTCTCATTTTCTTATTTTTGGTTTTATCTTGAAAAACAAATTAATGAATGACACACAGATTCATTTCTCAGATACTTAAATGAGTCTTTTACTTTTTTGTTTTGTCTCTTTCCCGTCCTCTGCTGCCGCTCCTCCTCCTCCATCCTCTTCACTCGCTCTTTTGGCGGGAGGCTCCCACTCTTCCGAATCCGAGTCGAACGAACTGAGCACCGGCCCTTTAGTCTCTGAGCTGCAGCCCGGCTCCTCCTCCTCCTCCTCCTCCTCCTCTTCTTCCTCCTCGCTGTCCTCGTCCTCGTCCTCTTCGCTCTCCTCGTCCTCCTCCTCGTCGTCGCTCTCTTCTTCCCCGTCGTCTTCCCGTCCTCCTCCTCTCCTCCTCTCTCCGTCTCCGTCCCGACCGTCCTTTGCGTCGCATTTGTTTTTCACGATCACGGTGTTGAACGGCAGCTCCATCGAGAACTGCCCGTCGTCCTTTTTGACCATCTCGGGGCAGCCGTCGTCTCTCGGGCTCATCGAGAGAGTGTTGACGTCTGAAAAAAAACAAAATTAAAACAAGAACATTTATTTTAAAAGTATCGAAAATCCGATGATATCGATATTAAAACTAGTATCGAAACCAGATTCTTATTTTAGAAGGTACTGATGTTAAAAACGCACCGTTATGTAGCAGATAATATTCCCTACAACTGTAAAACTCACTCGTATGTAACAGATAATACTCCCTACAACTGTACAACTCATCCTTATGTAACAGATAATAATCCCTACAACTGTAAGACAACTCACCCTTATGTAACAGATAATACTCCCTACAACTGTAAACTCACCGTTATGTGACAGATAATACTCCCTACATCTGTATAAATCACCCTTCTGTAACAGATAATACTCCCTACAACTGTACAAGTCACTCTTATGTAACAGATAATACTCCCTACAACTGCACAACTCACTCATATGTAACAGATAATAATCCCTACAACTGTACAACTCATCCTTATGTAACAGATAATACTCCCTACAACTGCGCAACAACTCACCGTTATGTAACAGATAATACTCCCTACAACTGCACAACTCACTCAAATGTAACAGAAAATAATCCCTACAACTGTACAACAACTCACCCTTATGTGACAGATAATACTCCCTACAACTGCACAACAACTCACTCTTATGTGACAGATAATACTCCCTACAACTGCACAACAACTCACTCTTATGTGACAGATAATACTCCCTACAACTGCACAACAACTCACTCTTATGTGACAGATAATACTCCCTACAACTGTAAAACTCACTCGTATGTAACAGATAATACTCCCTACAACTGTACAACTCATCCTTATGTAACAGATAATAATCCCTACAACTGTAAGACAACTCACCCTTATGTAACAGATAATACTCCCTACAACTGTAAACTCACCGTTATGTGACAGATAATACTCCCTACATCTGTATAAATCACCCTTCTGTAACAGATAATACTCCCTACAACTGTACAAGTCACTCTTATGTAACAGATAATACTCCCTACAACTGCACAACTCACTCATATGTAACAGATAATAATCCCTACAACTGTACAACTCATCCTTATGTAACAGATAATACTCCCTACAACTGCGCAACAACTCACCGTTATGTAACAGATAATACTCCCTACAACTGCACAACTCACTCAAATGTAACAGAAAATAATCCCTACAACTGTACAACAACTCACCCTTATGTGACAGATAATACTCCCTACAACTGCACAACAACTCACTCTTACAGATAATACTCCCTACAACTGCACAACAATCACTCTTATGTGACAGATAATACTCCCTACAACTGCACAACAACTCACTCTTATGTGACAGATAATACTCCCTACAACTGCACAACAACTCACTCTTATGTGACAGATAATACTCCCTACAACTGCACAACAACTCACTCTTATGTGACAGATAATACTCCCTACAACTGCACAACAACTCACTCTTATGTGACAGATAATACTCCCTACAACTGCACAACAACTCACTCTTATGAGACAGATAATACTCCCTACAACTGCACAACAACTCACTCTTATGTGACAGATAATACTCCCTACAACTGCACAACAACTCACTCTTATGTGACAGATAATACTCCCTACAAACTCACTGTGGTGAATAATGAGGATGCTCTGAATGCATTAGGTAAGTGTCGGGCTGTAACTAATCAATTAAATATGTAATTAATTAAATATGTAATAAAATATGTAATTAATTATGCCAGGAGCTCAGTTGGTCGAGCGTTCACCCACTGATCTGAAGGTTGGCGGTTCGAATCCCGCTCTCCACATAAATTCATTGACCCACAGGTTGGTTGGTGTGATTCCAGCTCCCACAGATGAATGCTGTCGTTGTGTCCTTGGGCAAGACACTTAACCCACCTCGCCCCCAGTGTCTGTGTGCGTGTGGTTTCTTGTTGTAAAGAACTTTGAGTCCTGAAGGTGGAAAAGCGCTGGATGAAAATGTGACCATGTCCATCTGACCCTTGCTTCTTCATCCTCTGCTTCTCTCACGTTCATCTTCTCCTCCTCTCCTCTTTCTCTGCTCCTCTCCTCCTCCTCTCATTTTCATCCTCTCCTCCTCTCACTCTGCTCCTCTCCTCCTCCTCTGACCTTCTCCTCCTCCTCTCACTTTCATCCTCTCCTCCTCTCCTCCTCTCACTCTCTCTCTCTCCTCCTCCTCCTGACTCTTCTCCTCCTCCTCTCACTTTCATCCTCTCCTCCTCTCACTCTGATCCCCTCCTCTTCCTCCTCCTCATCACTCTCCCACTCTCCTCCTCCTCCTCCTCCCACTCTCTCCTCCTCCTCCTCTCACTCTCCTACTCCTCCCACCTCTCCCACTCCCCTCCACTCTCCTCCCACTCTCCTACTCCTCCTCCTCCCACTCTCCTCCCCTCCCACTCCTCCTCCACTCTCCTACTCCTCTCACTCTCCTCCCCCTCCACTCTCCTCCTCCTCTCCTACTCCTCCTCCTCCACTCTCCTCCTCCTCCTCCTCTCACTCTCCTCCTCCTCCCACTCTCCTCCTCCTCTCCTCCTCTCCTCTCTCTCTCAGTCCTCCTCCCCCTCTCCCTCTCCTCTTCCTCTCCTCCTCCTCTCTCTCTCACTGTCTTCCTCCCCCTCTCCCTCTCCTCCCCGTCTCCCTCTCCTCTCCCGTCTCCCTCTCCTCCTCCTCCTTCTCTCACTCTCCTCCTCCTCCTCCTCCCACTCTCTCCTCCTCCTCTTCCTCTCACTGTCCTCCTCCTCTCTCTCCTCCTCTCTTCCTCTCCTCTCCTCCTCTCTCTCTCACTGTCCTCCTCCCCTCTCCCTCTCCTCCTCCTCCTCTCTCTCACTCTCCTCCTCCTCCTCTCACTCCTCCTCCTCTCCTCTCACTCCCCTCTCCTCCTCCTCCTCTCTCTCACTGTCCTCCTCCCCTCTCTCCCTCTCCTCCCCGTCTCCCTCTCTCCCTCTCCCTCTCCTCTCCCTCCTCTCCTCCTCTCCTCCTCTCCTCTCCTCTCCTCCTCTCTCCTCTCCTCTCCCTCTCCCCTCTCTCTCCTCCTCCTCCTTCTCCCTCTCCTCCTCCTCTCACTTCTCTCCTCCTTCTCTTCCTCTCACTTCTCTCCCTCTCACTCTCCCTCTCACTCTCCCTCTCACTCTCCTCCTCCTCCTCCTCCTCTCCCTCTCCTCCTCCTCCTCCTCCTTCATCCAGATTGCCTCACAGTTTCGTGTCCGTCTCGGTCTCCAGACTCGGTGGTCGGTCTGTGGTCACAGCTGTTCAGGGTCAGACCAGCAGAAGCCGATCTGTCCAAACTCTTTGTCTTCACTTCTCGTTTCCTCCGTCAATCACCAATAACCAGAGGGACAGATTCTACATTTCCTCATTCGATTTCATTACTAAGGAACAGACTCGATACTCTATACCGATTCTGATACCACAATGATCATGAAAACTATATATCCTGTGATTTTTGATTCCCATGTCTCTTCTGTGTAATCCCCCAGTAGTCCGTCTACCGTATTTTCTGCACTATATGGCGCACTTAAAAGTCTTTAATTTCATCAGAAAATTAGTGTGCGCCTTATAATCCAGAGCGCTTTATATATGAATTTATTGGGGCGTCTTAGTACGACTTTAGTAAAGTACAAAGCCGCACCACTTGCAGCGTAACGGCTCCCGTCGTCAGGAGCATCAGGAGTAATACATATTGTGATTTCTTTTAATATCAAAATGCACCTGTCAAGAGACATGCTCACAACGCCCACTTTAAACTCTGAAAAACTAACTGAAAGTGCAAAGTGCGTGGGAGCAGTGGCTGAGAGAAGGAGAACACACATTCACCAAGACAGAGAGACAGCGCTGAGCGACTTACGCCACGATCTGCCGACGGATCGTGGACGCCCGGGCGAAGGATCAGGATCAACTGTGGTCCGAGCTTTCACCAAGACCAGAATCATCACTGAACTGAACTCCAGGGAACAGTAACTACAGTATTTTCCGCACTATTAGTCGCTCTGGATTATAAGACGCACTGTCATTAAATGGTCTATTTTCGAACTTTTTTCACAAATAAACCGTGTGGGACTTTAAAGGAAACACAACAGTGTGATGGGTGAGTGGTTTTGTTTGTTTGTTCGTTCACGGTGACTCTGGGCTTTGTTCAGTTGTGGCGTGTAGGGAGGGTGTGTCTGAGACCAACGGATTGTCGGCGTGTTCGCAGTGACTCAGTTGTTCAGTCGTGTCTAGAAGCGGCACATTGCACTCTCTTTTTAGGTTCGTTCCTCTGTTCCATTCCTCGTCGGCGTGGAGTGATGAGTGTGACTGTGGGTGTTTTTTTTGCCGTGCGGTCGCTGTCTGCTCCGTGTGTGTTTGTGTGTTCTGTGGGTGGTGCGGCTTTGTAGTTTACTGAAGTCGTGTTGGGAGACCCGAGTGGATTCGTGTATGGGGCGCTTTGGATTGCGCCGCGCGGTCATTTTTTGATGGAGTTGGAGGCTTAAGAGCGCGTCTAATAGTCGAGTTTCAGCTGATGTCATTGTTATTAAAAGCCCGCGTTGCATGCTGGGAAATATTTTGGTCGGAGGCAAGAAACACGGTAGCGTCAAACACAGTGCGTAACCTCGCGTATTTCTCCCCGATAATGGTAAATTCCTGCTGCATTATCGGACGCACAAATAGAAGCACGGAAGAAGGAAAATGTCTTTTTCGTATTCTGAGTGAAAAGAACCGCTAACGGTGAATTAAACGACTTTCAAACATCCGCAGAGCAAACGTAGAAGATCCTAACAAACCGTGGACTCAACAAGTTCAACAACACATCCAGACTCTTGGAGGTTTTCATCTTTTCTGCTGTGAATGGCCCAGGAGTTTCCACCAAGTCATTGTGGATGTCGCCCAAGTGAATATTTGTCCAGGTAGTTGGTGATTCCGACCAGAAATTTGGTTTTGTCCACCTTTTGCAGAGGATGAAAAGGGTGATTTGTCATCCGTCGATGTTTATGACCAATTTCTGGTCAAATGGTCTTGGGTCCTCTGCCGTTAGAGTGGATAAATAACCGGGATCAATACCCTTTACGTGCTTTCTCACTCCGTCCGTCATGTTGAATTAGTGTTTATTGCCGCTGACCAAAATAATTCCCAGCATGCAACGCAAGCTTTTGTCAACAATGAAACTCGCCTATAGTCTGGAAAATACGGTACACTGACTCGGATAATGACGAGAGGGATGTGGACGTGCTGGACGCCGTAATCGCCCAACTGTTTCAACTATTATGACTTATTGTGAATACACGAACAATTTAGCATCTCAGACAGTATTTTTTTAAATGTTACAATTGAACAAAGTTGAGAGTTATTGTGAACGCGTTAAATAAAGTTTGACTGACTTATCTAACTTGTGTTTTGTTTAATGCGGTTTATATGTGAAAAAAGTTCAAAAATAGACCATTCAATGACAGTGCGCCTTATAATCCAGTGCGCCCTATAGTGCAGAAAATACAGTAGGTTCCATAGTGGTCCAGGTCTAAACCAGGTCTAAACCAGATCCATGGGCATACACTAGTCTGTGTGCTCTTATACTTGTTCTGATACAGCTCCAGATCGTTCTAAAGCTTCAGGACGTCTGTCACTACATCACATTTTGAATCACTACATACATACGCAAAGATAAAACTGAAATTAAAAGGTCGTATAGAAGATTTTCCAAGGAAAGAGAAGCGCAGCGACTGTTTGTCCTTTTTCAACCGTCGCTCTTCTCTCCACTTCCCCTTTTCTTCTTCTTTCAGCGACGTCAAAAACAGACTTTCTTTTGCGGCAAACTGGTCGCGAATTACGCCATCACAACAAACTTTTGTGCAAACTGAGAGGAAGCTAGGAGAGAAAACAGGATTGGTCGACTTTTTTTGACGTGAAGGTGCAGGTTTCTGGCAGCGAGTGTGAAGTTAAGAGTGACAGGGACGAGACTAGTATCAATTATTATCTGATTTTTGATACTTTCGACAGCCTTAAGGTAAATAAAACAGAAACAGTGCCATAATTCCTCTGCAAACGACAAAATGTCCGGACTTATTCTGCTTAAAAAAAACTGCTGTAGTTTAGATCTACGGAAGCTGAGAGGGGTCACAACAAACGCAAACGCCGCAACAAATGCAAATGCGACAACACGACAAAAAGCCACAACAAACAAAAAAAAAGTCACAACGGAAATGACCGCGGGACTCTATTTTAATGCAAACGCCACAACAAATACAAACGCCACAACACAAACGCAAATGCCACAACACATTAAAAAGCCACAACACATCAAAAAGCCACAACACAAGTGACCGCGGGATTCTATTTTCCGATGGACCAATCAAGCGGCAAGTGAAGAAGAAGAACTACAACGTGAAAAGTAAAGGAACGGAGAACTTGTAAACGTAAGTAAAAGTAATTTATCGTTTCACGTTGTAGTTCTTCTTCTTCACTTGCCGCTTGATCGGTCCGTCGGAAAATAGAGTCCCGCGGTCACTTCCGTTGTGGCTTTTTTTGATGTGTTGTGGCATTTGTGTTTGTTGTGGCATTTGCATTAAAACAGAGTCCCGCGGTCATTTCTGTTGTGGCTTTTTGTTGTGTTGTGGCATTTGTATTTGTTGTGGCGTTTGTGTTTGTTGTTGTATAGATCAGTACAAACAAACATCTTCTGAAATGTCCCTGTGTGTCATCTGTCCTCCCTGTGCGTCAGATGCCCTCCCTTCCTGTGCGTCAGATGCCCTCCCTTCCTGTGCGTCAGATGCCCTCCTCATGTGTCATCTGTCCTCCCTGCGTGTGTCAGATGCCCTCCCTGCGTCTCCATGAGGTCATCTTCTGCATAAAAATGTAGTTTAGATCTGTACAAACAGGCTCTAAAACGCGATTCTTGTTTTAGTTTGTCAGCTCGCGTTTCAGTCTTGTTGTCACTTCTCCTGGACGTGTTTAAAACGTGAAACTTGGAGCAGAATCTCACATTTTTCGCCCAATTCTGTACCATATTCTGTACATTATCCACAGTGCCAGATATCCACACACAAACTGTCACAGCTCTTTAAACGCGCAAACTACCAACATATCCGACTTTATCCACAAAATTATCCACACTCCTGGTTTAACATTTGTTCTATTTCTTACAAATCGCTAATACATTGCGTTAAAACACACGTAAACACACTTAACACGTTATAATGAGTCACGGAGGCCGATAAAGTGTCATTTCTGTACCTCGTTTTTGGAGCATCGTGCGCGGATCCAGCGGTAATCTCGCCCGGAGTCGCTCCTCGTCGTACTGCAGAAGCGACTGTTCCAACAGCGCCAGGCCCTTAGACATTTTCGCCCGGTTTCTGCGCAGATTTGCAGCTTTTTGTGGAATTTGGAGCGACTTTGCTACATAACAATTACCGGAAGACACGCAGCGAGCCCCGGAGCTTCTGCGCTGGCCGAGGCTGCAGAGACGCGGGGCGGCGCGGGGGAGAGGCGCCACCTGCTGGTCACATGAGGGACTGCACCAACAAACAGGGGACACTTGGAAAGATTTAACACGTGCTGCTGACAGTGTATGGGAGTAACGAATTACATGTACCGGAGTTATGTAATCAGAGTACAATTTATGAGTAACTGTATTCAGTTACAGTTACTGTTTCAGTGAGTGGTAATTGGATTACAGTTACTTTGTTGAAATAAATGGATTACACGGCGGGATTTTCCTGTTTTCACATTTTGGGCTAAACCAGGACTAAAACTAGGATTAAACCAGGACTAAACCAGGTCTAAAACCAGGACTAAAACCAGGACTAAACCAGGTCTAAAACCTGGACTAAACCAGGACTAAAACCTGGACTAAACCAGGACTAAACCCCTGGACTAAACCAGAACTAAAACCTGGACTAAACTAGGACTAAAACCAGAACTAAAACCAGGACTAAATCAGGACTAATCTAGGACTAAACCAGGACTAAACCAGGTCTAAACTAGTACTAAACCTGGACTAAACCAGGACTAAAACCAGGACTAAACCAGGTCTAAAACCAGGTCTAAACTAGTACTAAAACCTGGACTAAACCAGGACTAAACTAGGATTAAACCTGGACTAAACCATGTCTAAACCAGGTCTAAAACAAAGACTAAACCCAGACTAAACTAGAAATAAAACCTAAACTAGTACTAAAACCTGGACTAAACCAGGACTAAAACCAGGACTAAACCAGGTCTAAAACCAGGTCTAAACTAGTACTAAAACCTGGACTAAACCTGGACTAAACCAGGACTAAACTAGGATTAAACCTGGACTAAACCATGTCTAAACCAGGTCTAAAACAAAGACTAAACCCAGACTAAACTAGAAATAAAACCAGGTCTAAACTAGGACTAAACTAACACAATATGACACTAACAGTAGGATGGACATAACTGAAGTCAGCAGTGATCTCATATAAAAAGCATTTCTCTATCAATAATATTTTTAAAGTGCAATTCAACAGACCGAGCTACAAACAGAAACTGTAAACAGGTAGGTGTGTTAATAGTTCGTGGTTTCAGTGTAGTTCCTCCTTCTGGCAAGTCTGACCAAACCTGAAGAAGCAGCTTGGATGAGCTGCGAAACGTATTTGACCTAATAAACTTTTGTCCAGTTGACAAATTGCGTTTTTCCAAAGATTTAACATGTGCTGATGTGAGTAAAACCCCTCAGTCGTTCATGTAGAATCCATGGCAAAGTAGAAATTCAATTTGCCAACTGGACAAAAGTTTAGTCCAATGAGGTTCATTTAGTCTTTCGATAATTTATGTTATTAGGTTCTTTTTTCAGACCTGACAGTTTCGACTGCTCCACAGAGTCACGTGATGTTTCTGGTTTTGCAGACCTGCAGTCCCACTTCCTCAGGACAGAATCCCAGGTGTGTGAGAGTAAAAAAGCCCCTCGTCCCGGTTTATCGTCCTCTGGGCACGTTTCCGTATTTCGAACTGCAGGTGGCGCTGTCGTCCTGCCTCCACCGGTAGGAAGACAGCGCCAAAAACTTTTTAAATCAGCTGAGCGACACGGCACAGAAACATCATGTGACTCTGAGGAAGGGCGCAGGGAGCAGAACAAACTGTCAGAAAACAAACTCTTGGTCTGAGAAAACACCCTAAGAACATGGACAAAAGTTTATTTTGGATGAATACATTTACAACTCCATCCTCAGACCTAAATCAAAACAAACTAAGAGAACAACAGGGACAGTCGAGTCAGGTCCAGAGGTGTGAAAGCTCCATCATGGCCCTAAATGATTCATTCTGCTGATATGACCCCAAACTCAGTGCAGGTCAATAGACCGAGCTACAAACAGAAACTGTAAACAAATAGGCGTGTTAGTTTCAGAGTAGTTTCAGTGTAGTTAGCTCCTCCCTGCAAGCAGATCTAAATAAAAAAATAAAATAATAGGTGACTAATTATTCTAACATTAATTCCACTGATTGTCATTTGGTCTGTAAGTTTTATTATATTTTTATTTTTTGTACAGGTACAGACTGAAAACAACTGCAGAACGTAACTTCTAAACAAAGTCATCACAAATAAATTATAAAAAAAATAAAGTTAAATTAAACAAATGATTTTTTTTTTCATAGGTAAACTGCAGGTGTCTCGTTGATTTGAGCTCAGGAGGCAGAAGTTAAATCACATTTTAAAAAGTGCATTGGTTTTATTGTTTTGTCCCAGTTAAACATCGACGTGTGTGTTAAATCTATTAGATCTGTGTCCTTTATTTATTTTTTATGTATTGTATTAGTTTTATTTATTGCTATTCTATGGTTTTGCTCTTCTTTAAAAAAAAAAAATATGGAAGAAAACTGAGTCTAAATGTGCAGGGTTTATGTGAATGAAACAAAACACAACTCCAGGCCTGTTTGTGATGAAGAAACTACATTATAGCACACAGTGTTGGGGAGTAACAGATTACATGTACCAGAGTTATGTAATCAGAGTACAAATTATGAGTAACTGTATTCAGTTACAGTTACAGTTTCAGTGAGTGGTAATTGGATTACAGTTACTTTGTTGAAATAAATGGATTACATGGTGGTATGTTCCTGTTTTCACATTTTGGGCTATATCCCTTTTTTTTCTCGGTAATTCTGAAACTAAAGCAGGTCTAAACTAGATCTAAACTAGGTCTAAACCAGGTCTGAAACCAGGTCTAAAACCAGGTCCAAACCAGTTCTAAATCAGGTCTAAAACAGGATTTAACAGGACTAAATCCTGCTGTGTGGACGTGTTTCTTCGTTTTCTATCAATAATATTTTTTAATTTGGTTCAGTAAAATCTGGGCTTTTTATTTTCTTTTATCAGACAAAACTTCTTATGTGAAGATTTCCTCGTCTTTGCTTCTCTACAGAAAATCAAGTAATCCAAAGTAATCAGATTACATTACTCACTTTAAGTAATTTAATGGATTCCGTTACAAACTACATTTTGGTGTATGTAATCTGTAATCTGTAGGGGATTACATTTTAAAAGTAACTTCCCAACACTGATAGCACATACAAAAACTGCATAAAATAGGCCCTTTAAATTAGANATACTCCTATTTAGTTTGCAGGACTGCAGTTTATCATCCCTCCCGCCCGTTCCCGCATTGTTTAGTCCCACACATGCGCCCGCAGCGAGCTTTCAAAATGTGTCCCACGTTGCAGTGGTTTGCGTCGGGTCCCGCGGGACTGCAGGGCTCTAATTCCAACATTCTACCATATTTTTCAGATTATAAATTACATGTTTTTTCATGGTTTGGGTGTTTCCTGCAACTTATACTCCAATGTGATTTATATAATTAAAATGTTCACACTGAAGCGGTGAGAGGTTCTAGCCTTGTGTGTGAGTATCTGCTGCTCCTGTTCCTCCTGTACCACTGTCACTTCACTCTACTGCACATGTCTCCTGCAGAAAGAGCCTCTGTTCTGTCTGTATCATGTCAGTCGATCGCACCATTACTTCTGCACCACTGAACTATTTAACATTTAAACAAACTTATAAAGACACTGAGAAGACTGAACACAAATGCTCCCAAAAACAAAATCAGATTTTGCAGATTACAAACTGCAAGTCGTGAAATCTGCAGCTGAAAACGATAATCGAGCAGCAGAAAGAAAGTTTGGAGTGAGAGAGAAACTTGTGACACCAGGAGGATGCACCATGAAACTTTCCTGAAGTCAATGAAACCATCCTGTCGGGATTCAGAAAGACCCGAATAATTCTAACTGGAACTGATGCTGAGTCTGACGACAGCGACACAGAAGAGAAAAGCGGCGCTCTGTTTACCTCCAGAGGTCGAGGCCGAGTTGTTCAGAAGTGACACCGAGGATGAAGAATTGAATGGATTTAGTGATTTGGAGTGAGATGGAGAGTTTGTTAAACTTGTTCTGTTCTGTTGTTTATGTTATAGTTTATCTGCAGAACTGTTCATATGTGACGTTAACAGTCTGTTCTTCTCTCTTCTATTGTTTTTACTACAACTTGACTTTACACAGGAAATGTCAGTTCCTGGTCTCTGATTTTATAAAGCAAATTATAAATGCACCACCAGGACACCCGTTCACCACATTGCCCCACCCTCCAATAACTTCATAGGCTAACCATAAACCAAAGAATCATCTTGAACATTCTTAAAGCTATTCATAACCTGGCTCCACGATTCATCTCTGACCACCTCCGCTTCTTTCTTCCTGCAGGTGTTTGTTCAGAAACATCTGTCTGTATTCAGGGCAGTCTCTCGTGATGTTACCAACCACTGCAAATTGCAGAGGCCACTGAAGGCAGCACAAACTCAGACAGTCTTGACCAGAAATTTGGACATTTATGCAAATTTAGGCAAAGTTATAAACTGAAACATCTGCTTCAACAAATGTACAATACACCCAGTGTTGGGAAGGTGACTTTTAAAATGTATTCCCCTACAGATTACAGATTACATACCCCAAAATGTAGTTTGTAACGTAATCCATTAAATTACTTAAAATGAGTAATGTAATCTGAATACTTTGGATTACTTGATATTGTCATGCTTTTTAAAAATATATGAATGTAGCGACCACCTCCTGAAAATTCTTGTTTGTTCTTCAAATTGTCTGTTAAGCCTAAGTCTCCATGAACAGAGTTTTGTTTTACTGTAAAGAAGCAAAGACAAAGATGTTTTATCTGTTAAAAGACAATAAAAAGCTCAGTCTTTCCTTAACAGTATTAAAAATATTATTGATAGAGAAATTATTTCTATATTAGATCACTGCTGCCTTAAATTATGTCCATCCTACTGTTAGGTGTCATATTGTTTAGACCTGGTTTTAGTCCTGGTTTAGTCCTGGTTTAGCCCAAAATGTGAAAACAGGAAAATCCTGCCGTGTAATCCATTTATTTCAACAAAGTAACTGTAATCCAATGACCTCTCATTGAAACAGTAATTGTAACTGAATACAGTTACTTAT